TTAAAAACTTATCAAGATCAAAACATATTTTTAAATTTAAAAATATTTATAAAGATACTAACAAATCGTATATCAACAACTTCTTTATATCGATTAAATCGAACGATTGTTATCATATTATATGAGGTATTTATTGAGTTAGTGGATCAATGCTTAAGTCATTTATCACATCTAAATTCATACGTTATAAGTTAAATCTTTATCAACTAAATTAATATTTATTGATTGTTCAAAGAAAGTAGAATGCAACATAATATCCCAATAAGAAGAGCTAATTGAAAAGTACATTGAAATGAGATCCACAAAAATGCATGTGGTTTTGGTCTGAATATGTAGTTAGCGCAGGAACCAATTGAAAGTGGTGGCCACGAGGGTGTGTCTAGACCAGAAACCCCACTTGATGAAGTTACAAAAGAGAAATTTTTTAAAAAAAAAAAGAACCTTGAAATGGATGGAACAAATGGCTGAAAGGGATTCAAAGGGTCACTGTCTTGTGGTGGTTATGGGAAATGGCCCCTCCATGTACAACACAGAGACACAGAGACAGTCTTAAAGAGAGTTAGTTTCATTTGGTGTCCAAGTTAAAACTACATGTTCAACACCCTGCCATGTGCAATTAATGCCATGTGTTGCACCATGCTGGTCCTTCTTAACCGATCTAAGCTGACACATCTATTTGTTACAACTCACGTTGTGGATATATACACATCTACGTTCTTCAATTTAATAATTTCTTACAGACTATGTGTTATTCATGCATTTGACATATGAGAATGTGAAACGTACGCAAGATTCAATTTTTCTCTTCACACCCATATCCTTTCTACTATATCATTAAAATTTGAATCGGGTGTTTCATGAGTTTTCAATCTTATGAGAATTATCTCCATCGCTTACTTTGATTCGTTGTTTATTTGTCCTTGTATGATAGATATTATTATCCATCTAGGATAATTCAAAATAGCTTCATCCGACTTGATTAGTGTGATGGTTGACGTGATATCATGAGTGACAATGTGAAATACAATAGTGTGAATAAGAATAAAATTTAATTTTTCTCTTCTCACACATCTCTCTCTAACTATGTTATGTATAATCAAGATTTGACTTAGATATTTTATGATCAGTTTAACCTCATCAAAAATGTCGTTTCATTTATTTTGATAAATTGTTTATCATGTAATATGCTCTTGGGGTCTCATTTATAGGGTAAAAAAAGTATTTATTTTGATTCTTTTATAGTATGGGTGTTCATGGGACGAGATGAGATTGTGATACCCTTATCTCGTGTCTCATCCTAAAAAAAAATTAAGATTAAATTTTTATCCTATGTCTCGTTTCATTCTGTTAGGAATCAGGATGGGACTAAGATAAAATTAGGAAGTCTCACCATCTCAATAAATCGGATAATGTTGGAAAAAAAATTTGAATAATAATATTTATTAAAATTTTAAATCATATAATTTATTAAATTTAAAATCAAAATAATCAAGTGTATAAATCACAATAATTTTAAATTAATTATTAAATTACATCAATCATAACTACACATTATGATAGCAATTACAAGTAATTTCTAGACTATAAGAGCAATAATAATAAGCAAGCCAAGCACAATATTAAATCATTATTTTTCTACTTTATTCGAGATGTGCTAAATTAATTACTCTTTTAAAAATAAAATAAAAAATATGATATAAATAAAAGTTATTAAATAGATAGATATAAGAATAAATTATATTAATATAATTAATATATTATAAAGAAATATATTGTTCTGTTTACTCTGTATCATTAAAATTATCAATAAAAAAATTTTAGTTTTATATAAGAATTACAAGTATTAAAATTATAATTGATATAATTAATATAAGTATACATTATATTAATATAATTAATATATTTAATATATTTTTAAAATAAAAAATTATATATATATAATATTTGAGACAAGACGGGACATCTCGATGGTAATCCCGTGTCCCATCTCATCCGAATTCCTTTCTTGTCCCGTCTCGCAAAGTCTAGCCATGATTGTTTTTGGATCGGGATGAGACCCATCTTGATATAATTGGGATGATATCAGACTAATCAGTATGGATACAATCTAAACACTCCTAATTATAGCGCATTTCAATGATTATTGTATGCATCTTTATATTTTTACCCTTATTAAATGATAGATATTTTATTTTTAAAGAATGTATATTTAACAGGGTTAAAATTAAAAATTTATTGAATTTTTAAACATAATTAATGAAATTTAAGTTTTTATTTAAATTCAGTAAAAATGTTGATAAATAAAATCAAATGAAGTATTAGTTTAAATAATGTCTGCAGAAATGCTTACACATCACTCACTAATTCACATTGGGAGTTTGATTTAAACGCACGGCCTATATTAAATTATATATGTCAAATTCTTGACAACTCCACTGAACATTGTGGGCTAATTCAAAGCAATGTCGTCCTGCTTAATGTAGCGGCTAGCATGGCGTGAGAGCTCATAATTTGAATTAATAGTATTGGGCTGAGAACTCAACTGAAGTTATCCAAACGCATTAACTTTTAATTTTTTTTGGGGTGGTATTGGAGGATCTGAGTTGGCCCACTGTTTTATGTTGAAGTGATATGTCGGGTTGGGGTTAATCAGAGTGTCCCCTCTTGGATCTTCAAACTTGTGATATTGGTGGATTTGGGAGCTGCTTGAGTAATAACAGGTTAAAAACAATGTGTGGCCATGATATGTGGACATGAGTTCTTTTATCTTTTTTTTTTTTTTGCTTTTATTATCTTTTCCAGAAGACGAAAGACGAAGCAGCATTAATTGTGAATACAATTTGACACGACAGGGATACATTCAGACCGATTTGAACATCTCATAATCTCATTCAATACTTGGGGCAGCTCGCCAAACCAAAAAAGCTACAAGGAAAATATCAGTGCTAACTAAAATAAAAAGACATGAATAATACAGATTACAAACATTTAAATTTTTAACATAACAAACATTTCAAGAATTGATTGAGACGTGTAAGAGTCGTCTCAGATGTTGAATTTAAATTCCGCTTGTGCCCTTTTCGGCTTTTGATATATCTGCCAACAGTAGAAATTATTGTTAGATCGGACATTTTAATATTTAGATTTCGATCTTAAAGGATGTATGTTAATTAAAACACATAAAAAACACACCTACACATCACACTCAACTTTTAATAGTGAAGGGAGAGGAGCAAGGAAGATAAGATCCGAGAAAAATTATATTTTTATTTTGGTAAATATAAGAATTAGGCTCTTTTGAATATTAAAGATAAAGGATGGATATCTCTCAATTAAATTACTACATATACAATTTTTAAAAGCATTTAAATACATTAAAATTAATTTTTTTTATGAAAATTCAAAACTATTGTTGAACTCTTACAAAATGTTAACTAGCTAAAACAATTTCACAACTTAATCTTTCAGAAATTATAGTAATATTTAAATTTATAATTTAAAAAGTATTAATAACATTTTTAAAAAGCACAAATAATTATTTTAAGTTCTCTTTCATGACTTTTAAAAAATACGTCAATCCATTAATTACGTATGTTCTATTGATATCAAAGATTAAAAGGAAAATTATATGTAAGGACCACTTAAATAAATTAGTCGAAAATAAAAACTAATAACAAGTTTTATTTAAAAAAAAAGTCCACATTTTTATTTTTATAATAATTTATTTTATATTGATAATTATTTATAAATAATTTATTTGAGTGATTATTAGATGTGAGTCTTTCAAAATTAAAGGTCTGTAAATTTCAATTAATATCCCTTGCAGAATCTTAAATATCATTTTCCTTTTCCCTAATAATTGCTTCAGTGCCTACCTTTCACTTCCCGCTGAATACAAACGACCAGATAATTAGGTATATGATGGACATTTTCAACTGTTAAAAATTGAAATTGTATAATTAAAATTTTCACCTCACAATTACAATATTTGATGCGTACTTACAGTTAAAATGCGTAACTGCATGGGCCCAAACTAAAAAAGTAACCTCAGGGAGTGGGGAAAAAGAGTCCTGCCACTGCCACCGCCAGGACCGCACATACAGTAGAGAGATAAGGGCTGCAAATACGTTGTGCCCATAGCTACACTATGCCCGAGGTGGAAATTGGGGCATGTTTGGCTCGGCTCGAACCCAAGTATACCCAACTTTTTAAAAAATCCGAACAGTCAAGCACAGCTTGAATGCTTGAACTTTTTCAGGTTTCAAGTGATCCAAATACCTAAATTTTAATTTTAAAATTATTTTTAAATAATTTTTTACTTTAAAATTAATTATTTTATTTTATAAAAAATAAAAAATATTGTTTGGATGCTTAAATTATGTAAAAGGCTCAAACATATGGTAGTAACAAAATGACTTAAAAATTAAAGAATTAATTATTATTTATTATATATTATATATATTTTTAAATATATGTTTATTTGGATCAAGCTTGAACTCAACCGGGCTTTGTTCAAAATTTTTTAAACTTATTTGGACTGACCCAAACATTAAAATTTTATCTTTTTCTTAAATTTGGCTCTAAACTTTTTTTTTTTCGAACAAGTTTGGAATTAGTTCAAATTATCAACTCTAATACGTACAGTGTCCACTCCAAAACTGCGAGTAGGTATTAACCAAACGAACCTAATTTGGATTTTGGAATAGACAAGAATAAAACATAGTGGTCCCTGTCCATTCGTAACAACCCACGTCCCAGTGTTTGAACTTTACCGTTTAATAGTAACGAGGAACAGGTTCTTTGTTCAGCAATGGTAGAAAGCTAGAGCGGACACAAACACCTGCTTGGTCATGCAAACACATGCACGCCCAGACTAAGAGACAATACCTCGTTGAATGTAAGGGTCAATTAAGTATTTATACGCAGACCCAAACAAAAAAAAAATAAAAGGAAGAAGTACATGTTCCCTCCGCGAAAAAATAACAGTGGGAGAAAGGATAGAACTGTAAAACGTGTCTCATAGATAAAAGGAACCCCAAACAGCATCTGAATTCAGAATTCAGACAAATCTAACAAAATTTTAAAAGGAAGTGCTCCGGAACCCTGAATGAGCCGCCAAAAATGTGAAATTTGATCAAATGAAGAACTAAACACAGAGAAGAAAACCTTCGCGTCTCAATTATGTCAGCCTACGAACAATTCAATAAACTGGGCGGTGACAAGGTGGTTAATCAAATTTGCATTAAAATGCACTGCTGGTTTGTTTCACAGAACCAGAGGGACTATCAGGCATCAGAAGGGGAGCGCCCCCGGTGCTTATCTCAAGCCCCTGGAATTGGCCAATAGATTCCTGAGGCAACATCTCCGATAAGTCATGCGGGTTGGCTACGGCAAGCAGAGGCTGATGAGGATTTGGCATATTATATGAGAGTGCATGTAACTGCTGCATTTGCATGATCTGAGGTTCACCAACTGGTCCACACTGTGGCTGATGTAAGAAGAAAGAACCTAGAGAGTATGGAATTTGATGCCCTTGCACATTATACGTTTGGGTTAAGGTTGAAGTAACTGTCTCTCCAGTAGCAACCTTAAGCCTATCAACCTCTTTCTTCAATGCTTCATTCAGAGCTGCAAAATTATTAACCACGGTTTGAAGTCTCGCAAGAGTTACATGTAAGCAAGCACTGACAAAAGGTTAGCTGACAACAGAAATATCAGCACTCAGCAGTGGGGTTTTTGATTACCCAGGGGAACCTACATTCTAGCGCCTCTTAAGAAGATTCTTTTTTTTTTCCTGCCAACCTCTTAGAAGTACTTGAAAGCATGGAAAGTACATATGAACTTTGGCTCAATGGTATTGAGTCATCAAAAGTTTAAAATAATTTCCAATAACTTTATGAAAAATTATTTTTCTTCCGCTCATGCTTAGGCAAAACAAAAACTAGTATAGTTGCTGTGGAATTAATGTCAATGATAGAACTTGTATAGCAAGTAAGAATTGAAACAGAGATCAGAGAATGGGGAAAAAAGAAAATTTCAGATTACTTCCTTGTGAATTATGATTTGGCCTGATTTAACTTTTCTACCCCATTTAAAAGCGACACTCTGAACCCTCGATATTCATTGCATTCCCTACCGGACTACTCCAAATGTGTTGTAGCCAGAAAATGAGAAACATCGCAAGGAAAAAGGATATCAAGGTAGAATGGGACTTCGAAGTAGTACTGTGGATAATTAGCGATTTATCTAGGAAAGAATCCAGCAGAGAATGAAGAGGTCTTCTTTGGTAACCTGTTCCATTATGCTACTTCTGTTAAAAATTGGACCGAAATGAATATCTGATAACATAGTAGAGCCCAAAAGGTGTATAAAATGAATAGTTTTAGTATCCATGATATTCTCATTGATCAATATCTCTAATCTAAAATTGGCCTTTTCACTCAAAAGAACGATAGTACTAAAGCTAAATGGCTCTTCCTAAGGAAAGATAAGTTAGGTTGGATACAAATGGCTCCATCAACATCCACGGTGCAACCTCATGTGGTAGTCTCATCTAGGACAAACAAGGCAACTAGATTAAAGGCTTCTCTAAATATCTAGGATACCTTTCAAGTACGGCAGCTGAACTCAAGAGCATTTTGGAAGGGCTTGACATTTGTTGGGCTGAAAAGTTTGACAGTGTTAATGTTTACATTGACTCTACTAAAGCCCTCTCATTAATTTACAATGAGTTCTCTATTAATCACCCACTTTCTGCTATATCAACAAAATTAGAGATCTCATTATGCGAGACTAGCCTATTACCTTTAATCACATCTTCAGAGAAGCAAACAAATATGCGGATTGGTTGACTCACCAAACTTTTACCGATAATTTAAATGTTCTTATTTTTGACACTGCGTCTTTTGGTTATAGAAATCTTTTGTATGCTGATATAACTCATCATGTCGGTTAGCACGGTTTATCCATGGCCTTCCATTAAAAAAACAAAAAAAACAAAAGCCCAAGCATTTGACCAAAGTGCTGCAGGTAATCTGAATTTAAACCCCATCCCCCACTCCCAAAAGATGATTGCACAAATAAATTTCACGTGTCAAGTACTCAAATCCTAGATTGATCGAACATTGAAACATACCATCACGTAACTTAGCTTGTTGCTCCATAGCTTGTAATCGGAGCTTTAGCTCTGTATTTTCACTTGTTAAACCAGTTGTATCTCTCTGAAAATACAATAAGTTGCAAATAATTGCCTTGGATAGCACTAGAACAATATAAAAGCATGCCTGCCATCATTTATGAGCATTTTGACAAAGTCTATAAAAAGTCAGAAAATATGAACATCTGAAGAATGACCAGTAGAAGCAAACACAAATGACAAATAATACTAACTGGAGAATACCAACGACATATGGAAACTTGACTAAAGGGGTATGAACTATGAAGCATATCCAATCTGTCATCAATAGTAAACACAGAAAATTTCTTCATGTTTAGCCCATGATTGGATATGCTTCACTATCAGTTATTTGCCATTTGTGTTTAAAAACTAGTAGTATGAACTATAAAGTCCAAATAATTATCCAACTAGAATTAAGGAATCACTTTTATAAAAAAAGAAAGAATTAAGTCACACATTTCCTTAACAGGTGTGTTGACAAATTTCAAATCAGCCAACAACCAATCATATAATTCACCATTATGTTTTTTTTTTTTTTTAACCAACAGTTCACCATCATGATAATAATCCACAATCACATTTTAATATTACATAAGCACAAACTTAAGATGTGAGCATGGATATGGCTGAGAAGAGTGTCACTGTCCCTATAAGTAATTGTATCAGTTCTGATGAAGCTAATCAGATATTCTGTGAATGCGATGGTTAGACGACAAAGCAGGATGGATTTAAGAACCTGGAAGAGATTTAGTTGAGCTGAAAGAGTGGTTGCTTCTGTTTGAAGAATATGAATTTTTTTCTCAAGTTCTAGCACATAGCGCGCTTTCCTCTCTTTTGAACGAGCGGCAGAATGGCGATTTGCCAGAATCCTGTGTCAGATGCACAATTTCGGAAACTCCTTAAGAAACGCAAATATGAATCACTGTGGCAATTAGATAATAGAGAATTCAAAAGTTTCAAACCTTAATAATGAATCGATAAACTTAGCAGATTATACCACAAATTCCAATATGTGTTTACTCCAGGGAATACATATTTGGGGCCACATTATGGTGCAGGGCAGTCCAAGAGGGCAAATCAGATTCCACATTTTCTTCTTGGAAACAAATATTAAATCCGTCCCGCTCACACTCTCATCGAAAAGCCAAATCCCGTTCTTAAGTTACAAAATGAAGAAAATCTAAAGCCCCCCTCAACGAGAAGACTAAGCATAATAAAGACGGTAAATGATACCTCTTTGCTCGCTTAGGATCAACAACCCACAATTCGGCAAGCTTATCAGGAGCCATTGCCTTCTTAGCCTCAATGGCCTCGAGCACGAAAGTCCCATCGGCTGAATTGCTGTGCCGATGGCGAGGTCTGGGGGGCTCGTCACCGTCGCCGCTAGTCCCAACGGGTCCATCATTGGCATGAGGAGTCTCGGAGGTTCCGGGTTTGGGGTCGGATGATGGAGAGTGAAGCTGCGATCCGGATTTGTCAAGATGCATGTAGGCGGATAAGAGGTCGTGCTCTGATCCCAGATGGTCGAGAGCGAAGGAAGGGCCATCGAAGAGGGATGGCTCGAGATCGAAGTCGTCGGGTAATCGGAATTGGCCCTCGGATTGGGCGCGGCGGTGGGAGGGGCCTCGAGAGGAGAGCGGGGGAGGGTCGGGAAACGACATCGTCGAGGGAGGGAGAAGGTGGGCTGGTCAGGTGAATCATGCCAGGTCACTGTGCGACATTCCCATCTTCCTCCCACTGGAACTCCACTCTTCACAGGGACCGGACAGATGCCGATCAGATTACCGTCAAATTGAACGACGTCGTTTTCTACATAAGAGACCGGTTATTCCGTTATTTGTTTGCCAACCATTGACAGACAGGACTCTATTCATTTATTATTCGAGACGTCCTTTGGAATTTAGGTCTCAAATCGAACCGCATGTCACGGGGACAAGGTGCTGTTACGCTTACTTTGTGCTTGGAAAACTCTCGATGATCATGAACCGACAATAAGTATATTTGTAAATTTGTAAATGCTTCTTGAGTTATATCGGTTTTGGTGAGTCGTGTGACCTAAGTATTTTTTTTTTTTTAAGAAAAACCTAAACGTAGAAAGATATATATGCCCTAATTTATTATTTAAAAAAATTAGTTGAAAGTTTAATTTCTTAAAAAAATTAACATATTTCGAATTATAGCATTGATAATAACAATTAAAATTCTAACACATCACCTTAAGATAATAATAAATAAAATGAAAGTATAGTTAAAAAATAATTATATAAATTGCCTAACTGTATATATTTTTGACCGATTAAAATTTTTAGAAGATGCGGTGCCATTATGAAAGAATATTTTAACCATGCATATTGTTATATATTGATGTTTTATGATAACTATTCATGAATACTGGAGTCTTCCATGCAATGGTGAAAGCACCTTGGCTCATGAAAAGGAGAAGTGCCCGTTGACCTTTAATTTAGATTTTTCTTATATCAATCTAAATGTAGACAAAAATTAATTAATTTCTCAAACCCATCATTGTGGCATTAATCCTCAATGTTCTCGTTAGAGTGAGTGAGCGTGTCTGTTTTAACTTTTAATACCCCGGTGGATTGTCCAGTTATCCTAGGGCACTCTTCCAATTTATGTATACTTGATGAAGCAACATAGGTGCAGTCATGCTAGTGTTGTATGGAAATCTTTAACTGAGTTATAAATATGAAATAATAAATGTCGTTAATCATTAATTTGAAGTTATTTCAATTTAGTATACTATTTTTATCACTGAAAGAAGATCTAAATTTCAACTAAAAGAAGCACCCACATCTAATATTCAATTGTGTCTCAAGCATGATCATTTTTAATAGAAGGAAACTTGTGAGCAATAAAAAAAAAAGAAAAAATTCATCATTCGATTTTATAATTTTAACTCAATTATAATTTAATTCTTAAATTTTGACTCCTGTGATTCAATCTTTATATTTTTAATCATTTAAATATTAGTCCCTATATCTTACAAAATAAAATTATAAAGATTAAAATTATGTTATAATTTAATACTAATATTTTAAATTACTAAACCTTTTAATATTTATAAATATTATAAATATTAAAAGTTTAAAATATTTTTAATCTTTATAATTTTATTTTTTAAAATATATGAATTAATATTTAAATGATTGAATTTATAATTATTAATTTGTAAGAGATAAAATTCAAGAACTGAGTTATAACTAAGTTAAAATTATAAAGATTAAATTACAATGAGTTAAAATTTAAAAATTGAATTACAATAAAGTTAAAACTATAAAGATTGAATAATTAATTTTTTCAAAAAGAAACTATTAAGTTTTTGAAGTACAACATGACCTAAAAGCCCAATTTTTACAAGACATGTTGCCAAGATCCTTTTCCATGGTTGGCCCAAGACTTTTGCCAAGATCCTTTTCCATGGTTGGCCCAATAGTCTCCCACATATTGGGCCACACCTTGTTCCTCCCATTGAGAGTTGAATCTTGCTCAATTGATACACCAAAGCTTGTTTGGTATGCATGCATGAATTTGGTGGGGTTGGAGTTAGAATTGAAATTGAGATTAGGGTTGTGGTTGGGACTTTAAAAACACATTTGGTATGGAGTAACAATTGCGAGAATATTTATCTTTATTTTATTTTATAATTAAATATAAATTATAAAAAGACTACAATACCCCTTATGGTTAATAAAAAAAATTAAACCCTAAAACATCTCTTCCTCTTCGTTGCCATCAAACCCAACCAAATATACAACTTCCCTCTTCATCTTACACGCTCACTCTCTTCTTCTTATCAAATGATGTCAGGCACGTTAGGGAAGAAAGGGGAGGATGAGAGGAAGATGATTCATTTTGGAGATCAACAAATCTCAGAAAGACAATTTACAAAATACAAACTCACCCTCATCTTCATAGGTAGAGAGGATTCTGTCTGTGACTATGAGAAGAATGGTGGCGAACGGCTTTGCCACTACAAAGATGAAGAAGGTGATCGAAGATGTGAGAGGGCAGAGGGAAAAATGATGGGAGAGACATAGGAGGGAGAAGTTGAGCAAGAAGACCGGCTTGAAAGGGTATTTTGGTCAGCAAAATTTCAATCCCAAAAATAAAATTTCAATACCACCGCCCCCAATAGGTTTCACCAATCCCATGTAGGTGGGCTTCACCAATCCTAAATTTTAGCTAATCCATCCTACCAAACATTTTAACATGAGATTTATCAACCTCAGTTCCAATCTTTACCCCTAAATGTCTCATACCAAATAGGGTTCGAGAGTCCAAAACAAACATTGTAGTGACAATAGGTGTTGGTTCTAAATAAAATAGGTTATGATTGTTTAAACATAAAGTCTTGAGTTTGAATTTATGCAAATAAAAAAAATTATTTTTCAAAAAGTTGCCCCAAACTAGACCTGACAATGTTCAAATTTAACATAGTCAAATAGTCATATAAAAAGCAAACAATATCATAGTTCCTCACATTATGGTAAATTAATGTTGGTATTCTCAACAGTAAAGGTACTCATTTACTAGAAAAATGCATCCACGCAGTTTATTTAAAAAAAAACGTCACATAACTCACATACAAGAGTTAAGTGGTTTAAAAAAAATGATCTATTGGCCAAAAAGAAAATGATCTTTTTTTAAATATTATGTCTTTTTTTTTTCCTTCATACGGCTCCATTTTGCGCGTGGGAGATATATAAATGAATAAACGAGTTACAAAATGGTGGTCTCAACTCTCCACTTGTCTTGGTCGAAATTCAAACGAGCGGTTCAGTCAACACACGATAATGGTGAGAGTTAATTAACATTGACCGACGAATGAAGATAAGAGCCAGCACACCAAAATTACGTACGCAAACTGTAATTTATGGGACCCATTATTGCAATTAATAATATAAAACAGCGATGCTTCCATGAAAAACATGTGTCCCCATCCAGCTTCATCATTAACCTCCTTGCTACCAGCATTTTCTTTTTAAATTATAAATATTAATATTCCTTTTGTGCGTGCGTGTGCGTGTGCGTGTGTGTGTGTTTTGTTTTGTTTTGTTTTTTTTAATTCCTCCTTAACTGGGTTGTAAGTTCAATGTACCCCACTCCTTTTATCACTTGCCATGTAGTTTGTTGTACAAAGGGCTAGGGTATGGAATTATTTGCATAGTGTTTTTCACGTTCTGTAACAAGGCCTGTTCATATTTGTCACATCAATTAAGCACACATACACACCAGAAACAAAGCAAGGAAGTGATTATTAATTAATAATTTTCCATTGATAAGATTAGTGTTACGTTGGTGGAACTATGTATATGAAAGAGAGGAGATGGTAGAGAGGAACTAGACGAGTGGGATGTGTGGGGACGGCGTCACAAGTGAAAACGATAAACATGATTGTTTTATTCTCTTATCTTTTGGTGCCTTGCTTTTCGGGGGATTAGATAGCTTGTAACAAGTGAACGAAACAAATAAGACGTGACTCTTTGGTTGTCTCTCCAAACCAGCTTATATTATTTTTATAGGTTAAGGGTTAATTTTATTTTTAAATTATATGTAAAAGTTTATAAATAATTTTAAATTTAATTTGAGGTTCAGTTTATCTCTCAACATTAGAATTTTGCTTCCTCTATATTCCTAGCATTTATTATTCATTAGTGAAACCCACATGATTTTTTTTAAATATTTTTGATAATAAAATATAATAATGAGACCCACTTAATATTTTTTTGTTACATTTTTTTTAGGTTAAGGGTTTATAATGTCTATTAACTAAGTAAAAAGAATTAGGGTTACCTCTAAAGTTAAAAAAAAGTTATTTATATCTCAATACCATTAAGATTTTCGATTCAACTACCTTTTCATCATTTTTTAATATTTTTATAATTTTTAAAAATACCCCTCTCTCCTCTCTCTCTCCCCCCTTTCATCCCTCTCTCTTGTCCGCTCCTTCTTGGATTGAAACAAGTGGAGTCACAATGGTAAAGCACCTTACATGTCGATTGTATTATTGTTATCATCTTGATTGGCGAAGCTGAAGAGCACACTAGAAACATGTTCTTGCAATTGTTGTGGAGTTCTCATACCATTTAGAATTGGCATATTTGAGGGTAAGGTTAGAAATTATGATAAAAAAAATTTTCTTGGAGCCAACAGAGAGCCATAGTGTGAAATTTAAATTTTTACAAATTTAAATAGAGTCATTCAAAGGTGTGCTTTGAACTTTGAAGAAATTTATTAAAAATATTAAAAAAATGATAAGACTCACTAAAAATATTTAAAAAAATAAATATGGGCCTCATTAAAGATGAAATTTGATAGAATAAACGGTATGGTGATGAAATCAAAAAATTTTTAAGTTAAAAGATATAAATAATTCTTTCTTGACTTTAGGGGCAATTTTGATCCTTTTTGCTTGGTTGAAAGGAATTTTAAATTTATAACCCTATAAAAAAAATGGAGAAACCCACTAAAAATATTAAAAAAATTTAAATGTGAGTTCATTAATAGTGAAATTTGATGGAATAGACGACAAGGTGATGGAATAAAAATCTTAGTAATTGACTTATACAAATGATATTTTCTTAACTTTAGGAGCAATCTTAGGCCATGTTTGGTACATCAGAATTGTGAAAAGGGAAATGAAATTGAACATGGAATTCTTAAGTTGGCTTGTTTGGTATATCAGAATTGCTTTCTTGAAGGAATCTGATTCCATCAAAATTGATGGAATCCAATTCCATTGTAGACATCATGAAATCCACTAACTCAACATGGAATTGGCTTATGTGTCATTAAAAAAATAAAATAAAAGGTATTTTGAGCTTTAAAAGTACATTCTTTATTTTTTTTATTGTTAAGTTTTTCATTAAAAAAATAAAATAAAGGGTATTTTGATTTTTTATATTTTAAATACATATACTTATTAAAATTATATCATGATTCCATCTTCATACCAAACACACTTTTAAAACTCAATTCAATTCCGATTCCGATTCCAATTTCAATTCCGATTCCGATTCCATTAAAAACTCTTCTATCATACCAAACGAGGCCTTAACTCTTTTGGCTTGGTGGAGTTGCAGTTTAAACCCTTAACCTTATTTTTATTATGATATAAATTTGATGATAAACACATGCTTTGTGCAAACCTTAAATACTGTCTTAACTTATAGGCTTATAAATTTCATGTTATATACTCATTTTGTTAAAAAATATAAATCATTTTTAGCTAAATCTCACCTTCAATAAAAGTAGTTAATTATTTTTAAATTAATATCATCTTTCATATTTACTTTTATTTAATATGATGTTTCACTTTAAATAAATATAAAGTAATTTATTAATTGTAAGCACTTTAAAAAATATATATTAATTATAATTTAAAATACTAAAATTGGTTTACAATTTTTAACATCTCATTCCTTAAAAATTGGGTTACATTTTTTAACAAATAAAGTATATAATTACAAGCTATTGAAAAAGAAACAAAAATAAAATAAAAGGCACGAAGTATACAGATGCTTAAAATATATTGATTTTAATTATAAGATAATCTTAACAATAGTAATAATTTCTCATCATTTTATTTTTAAATATTTTTTTATTTTTTTATAAAATAATTAGAAGTATTATACTGAGAATTCATTTTAGTGTTGCTTTAGGCAAAGAATTAAAAGCAAGTCCGAACACACAACATAAGGCCTAAAAAAACACGTGTGATGAATGAATAGGAGAAGGAAGGCCGTGATAAAAATTTGTGCTGGAGGAGCTCGGGACTTGCAGACACAAAGCAAAAAGTAATTAAATTAAATTACATTACATTAAATTCAGGTTAAGATATTTTTAAACATTGTCAATATAATGATGTCAATTTTTGTTGGTGTTTACAGCATGAAATGAATAAGGACAATAATTAATGTGGTTGATGTTGGTTGCTTATAACTGCTCAACTTTTCTTGCCCACCTAATTAACCAAATGTTGATTCGAAGTAACCATGAGAAAGCAAGAGGTTAAGAAAGTAGTTCAGGTGGCCTTCTCCATATTGACCTCTCAAGCCCTTTTTAGTTGTACCTTACCCCAAACTAACAAATCATTGCAAAGTAATATAACATTCACAACAAGTCGCAGTTTCTAAATCATGAATAATACACTCCCTCCAATTTTTAAGCAAATTGCAAGAACTAACACTGTTAGACATCCCACTTCGTTTTTTCAAAAAGAAGTATAGTCTTTAAAAAATGCCCTTTATTTAACACTAACTTTTAATTAATTCACACTGACTTTTAAAAATATCTTTCATTTAAAAACTAATATCCTTTTTAATAACATCAAAATCACTGGAAAAACATTTAACATAAATCATAATGAAAAAAATAATTCACAACTCAAAATATTTTACAAGGAATGAATTTCTTACGGAGAGGCTTAATTATCTATAAGTTTTAAATCATATATAGATAGATATCTGAAGTCAAAAAATATATTACATATAGAAACATGAATATAAGTTGCGATCTATATTTTTTCATGTATATATGTGTAGAACTGGGAATAAAAACCGGACCTAGAGAGCCATACTTGGAGGTCTTGTTTAAATTTTTTTAAAGTAATCAGGTCTGAGAGCCTAACCTTAATAAGTTCTGTGAAAAAGGATTCGAGTCTAGGCAGCCTTTCAAGTCTGACTACACACACACATAAATTTTTGTTGAATTTTATGTGAGATTTTGACTTGTTTTATGTTAAATTTTAAAACATTTTATTTAAATTAAAATGTTTGACTTTTTTTTAGAAAGAGGGTTTAAGAGCTTGGTCCTAAGCCTTTTAAATAAAGGCTGAGCCTTAGAATTAGATTAAATTTTAAATAACCGAACTTTAGGACATGAGCTCTCAAGGGTTGAGTTAGGCTCAGGCCCGTGCTGATTCTCACCTCTAGATATATGACTCAATACTAACTTATAATTAACTTGAATTCTTAGGCATTGAGAAGAAAAGAATCTATAAATAAAAATTAATTCAATTAATAAAGATGCAACTCATTTGAGTTGAATTACAATTTTGCTGCAAGTACAAAATCCTCCAATGGTAGGTGTAAAAGTAGGTACCTTCTAGCAGATTTAGACCAAAACCCAATTCACTTGAAATTTTATTTAGCATGAGCGGGAAAGTGAAGCAACATGTAACCCAGTACAGCCGTTGAATGGTTACTGGGTCATATATTTAAGATATCAGCTATGAAATATGAAATGAAAGAACAATTTTAGAAGGGGATGTGTTTCCGCTTTCATGTAAGGCCTTCACTGTCCTGCAAAGGGTACATGGCCACATGACCCCCAACGTGCGGCTGCACACTTTAACGTCCTCACACGCCACACAGTGTCACACTCACTAGCCTTCATCCCTATACCATACATACAATACACATCTTCCTTAACAAGATATGGACGTCACTGTCCCTGAAAACAACAAACACCCCCCCCCCCCCAAAAAAAAAAAACCCTCATTGGATTTTCGTGATATTTTCAAACACTCGTTTGCATGGCGACAAAAGAGTTCTCTACACTCAATCATCATCGAGTCCTCAACGCCTCAGATTAGCAAGGTTCGCCCACAATTTATCCACCTTCAATTATTTTTTTTCTTCTTTGAATCAGTGTTATGACAAGGAAATGGCTCCCAGAAATATCTAGGCTCTACTGTATTGTGATTGCTGTTTACACAGAAAAGGCAGCAAGTGGGTCTTATCATGCTGACTTGTAACTTTCAAGTCTCTGGATTGATATGGCACTAATCAAAATGGGGTTTATCTTAAAAAAAATCAGCTTTGGTAGGAGCATTTTAATGTTGCAATCAGATTAGGAGGATAGGAGCCTCTGATGGTCCCATGTAATTTTCTTTTGGAATGAATGATTTCAGTTTCCATGCAGAAAATATTGCAATCAAATAATGGTCGTTGGATGAGAAGAAAAATAAGAAGAAGCTGAGATTGCTTGAACCTTAAATTAATTGTTGAGTGGGGGAAGGATTTGGTGCTCAGAATAAGTACTCCTTTAAATAAGCTAATTGTGAGATTAGGTGGGATCAGGTACCATAATCAAAATTCCCAAAACCGCCCTTTTTTTATTTTCTTTTATTTGCTTCTGCCTCCTATTGATTCCTTGATTTATGTCTCTGCATGTCATATCTCACACCAAAAATGAAAATTGAACAAAGCAACAAACAAGCTACCTGTCTTGTTTTCTTTTGCTCGCATATCATCTGTGTCCCAAGTTGCCTCTGCAACCTCCAAACATTACATAGCACCTGAACACAGTCACTGCCTCCAATCTCTACAGAGAAAATAATAAAAGCCATATATACCTTACCTTCTCCCCCATCTTTCTTCTGCATAGAAAATTCTACTCTCCCTCCCTCCATCTCTCTCTACTTTAACCTTCAGAAGAATTGCCATAGCCTTGTACCTTAGAATTTTCAGATCCTTCGAGGGTTTGATTGGAATAGAGTGGAGAGGCTAAGATACTATTCACCACTTCCTGTCCTTATGATAGAAGATATGCTTCTTTGAATTGCAAGTCTCTTCTGCCCGTTGTTTATATTTCATCAAATTAAAGACAATAGCTTTTTGCTGCATCATCAGAAGAGATAAAGCAACAAGCCAGCTACTGCTAAACAAGCGTGAGATGATTTTCAAGGCTATTTGCTCAGATAACTCAACTGACATCAAAAGGGTACGAGAATTTTGAGCTGCTTGATCGGAATCATTTGGCAACACAAGAAAAGATCTGATAAATGGCTCGCCTACTGCTAAGCACAGATTCAACATCAAGTCTATCAGGTCATGGCAACAGGACAGGGGGTTTTAACACTAGTGATGCCAATTTCGACACAAACATGGTGATTATACTAGCAGCCTTGCTCTGTGCACTAATATGTGCTTTAGGGCTAAACTCAATTGTAAGATGTGCTTTGAGATGCAGCAGCAGGTTTGCTTTTGAGACACCAGATGAAGCGGCAGCTCGTGTAGCAGCAAAAGGGTTGAAGAAGAGTGTGTTGTGTCAGATCCCTATAGTTGTATATGGTTCATCAGGTGCTACTGATATTGGAGCCACTGAGTGTCCAATTTGCCTAGGAGAGTTTGTGGATGGGGAGAAAGTGAGGGTTCTTCCTAAGTGCAACCATGGATTCCATGTGAGGTGTATAGACACATGGCTTCTCTCACATTCTTCTTGCCCTACTTGCAGACAGTCTTTGGTTGAACAACACTGTGCAAACACTTCTGGTTCTGGAGATGTATAGTTGTGGCTGTGGATGAGGTTTGCAAATCTTAACCCTCCACCATCAACTCATCAAGATCTCTACCACAGAAAAAAAGATGGAGAAACAGAGAATATGTTGTTTATAGCTTTCTATCTTGGGATTTTCTTTTTGTTTTGGGGATTTGCAGCGCAGTTATTGTGATTTGTATGGAGATATCTGCTAGGTAAACATCAGTAATGCAGATTAAAATTTCCTGATAATTATTCCTGAGTGTCCTTTCCCATTCAGTGCTTGTAAATGTTCTCTGTTCTAAAGCAGATGGTACTGAATCTTGCATGTTTGTTTCTTTCAAATTGATTGAAGGCCAAATGATACCCTACTAGTAGCTTGACTTTCCCCACCCCCCACCAAGAAGAATGGAAAAAGTGCATATAAACGGATGCTTTGTTGAACTTTTACTTTCTCATTGGTAAAATAGAAAAAAGAATGTCCACAGACAGCACTTCGATCTTTCATTTACCTCACTTTAGATTGTTCTCGTTGTAAATCCTAATTAACTTCCATGGACCTTTCTTATCATCTTATTTGGGTACAAGTGGTTGTTAGTGGACAAGTTGATATATTATATCAGTGTCAATAAGTATAGCAAGTGACTGAACAATCTGTGTTAGAAGTCTATCAGATTGATTCCTCTTGAAAGATAATTTTATTTGCTCTGCATGTCAAAGCAGACATCAACCTGGCTTTTTCACTATGGGTAGAGGATGCTTCATCACATGGAAATTTAGTATGCAAAATAAAACTAGCCTTAAGGAGCAAACCATGTCAAAACAAATACATAACAAATGCATAGAGTAAGAAATTCCAATTTGCAACAATCACTAAAAGGAGCTAGTCAATTTATATACAAAAGACAAAAACAACAAAAACCTTAAAACCATTGTTATCCTTTTCACGTGTAAAGCATTTCTCACACCCTAGTCCGTTTTCATTCAAAGTGATTGGTAACAAAGTGCTCATAACAGTGGTTTTCGCTTCCAAAGTTCCAGTTTGATTTGCATTCCAAACTTACGAAAGCCCAAAACATGAGATTCCTACAAAGTAGATCACAAGGCATAAAGAGCAGATATCTTTTTATTCTTTTCTTCTTCACTTATCTAGGCATATTTGATACTCCAAATCCTTCTTATCACATTGCTATTTCATGACAGACTCAGGTGACACTCAAAAATGTTGTCACGATGGCACCATTACTAGCACTGAAAATCCAAAAAGTCTCAATCTTTTAAACTCTTGCTCATGCTGAGTGGTCTCCAACGAGGATTAATGATAAGTTCAACTAGATGAGTGGGATTCAAATGTGAGGAGGAATTTGCAGGCACAAATTTAGAAAGAGAACAACTATGAGCGGACATTATTAGTTACAGAAATGGTGAGGAAACACACACACACACACACACACGCAGAGGGGGGAAGTTACTTAGCTCATTAGCCAAAGGAAGACAAATTTACTTGCTCTACTGTTTTTTCTTCTCCTTTCACAGTTTGATTTGATGTGCAAATTGTGTACAACAGCATGGTATAACACAAAGGAATCATGATTTGAGATTGCGTTGTGGTGTGCTCAGAGAATGGAATCTCAAACTATAGTGTTTGCTTGATGGTTTTGTGCGGACTTAGGAGGCCCACAGTTTGAAAACAGAGAAAAGTAATTCATTGCAGCACTACCTGTGAATTTCGTCCAAGTAATGAGAATTTGGGATTCAAATTGAAAGAGACGTTATGTGAAAGGAATCCACTCATCATTGGGCCACTTGTCATCGCCACCTCTCTACTTCTTTCATGGGTTCCCATGTTAAATTTACTCTCATTCTCCCTCAGATCTTTTTCCCCCTTTTCTCGGGTTAAGGATTTATTCACTGTTCATATATGCTCTTCCCCTATTTTCGTACAGCATCAAACTGGCAGATTCAAGATCCAAGTTATCATTTCACCCCCAAAAAATATTCCAAAGATATGAACTTTCACAGTGAAAGCAAGACATTCGGATTAAAATATTTTCTCTTTTTCACCCTAACGCAAATATGTGTGCCACACAAAACACAATTCCATTCAAGATAATCCATATTCCATGCTGGTTGTTGCTGCTTTTTTCTTGACATGGGATCTGAATTATTAATTTTTTATCTTGTTACCAATTCTAAATAAGTAAGGGTGTGTTTGGTTGGAAGGGAGGGGAGGGACCTTCCCTCCAAATTGGGGGGGAGCTCTCCTCCCCTCCCCTCCCCTCCTCCTCCTCCTTCGCCTCCCCCACCCTTCCCTCCTCTCCCCTCACCTCCCTATCCCTCCTCTTCTCTTGAATCAAACATACCTTAAAGTAAGAATGGAGATTTGTTTTAAAAAATGATTATTAAAATTAGACATGAATATTTATGTGCTTATTGTCACATTGTTCGGTAAATACATGTATATGTTAGGAAAATGAAAGACACGGCCGTCTAATATTTGAATTGTAAAGATCATATATTTATATTGAAAAAAAATGATAATATAAATTAACAAAAAAATTCCTCAAATTTTTATGGGGAAGATATAATTCTAAAAATCCATTCAAGGCTAACTTGACTTCATTACTATGTAGTATTACTCCTTAGCCTTTTTTATAAGTTATTTCTACTATTTTCATCAATACAAATGCAAAAAAAAAAAGAAATGAAAGTGTATAAAATTTCAAATATACCCCTATACAACAAATTTTAAAAGTGATGTATTGTTATTTTTTCTCTTATGGAGAGTAATTTTAAATATACTTTTTAAATGTTATATAAAAAGTCACATTATGACTTATAAATAAAATTAAATAAATTTTATAAAATATGCCTTATAAATGTGATGTGAAAGAGTACTTTTCAAGCTTTGCTTGCCCTTTTATCAACTGAAAAAAAAAAAAAAGGATCCATTCAAGGAAGGATTGATGATGGACTTTCGCCCACTTATTACATCTTTTAGTCTCTACACTGGCCAGATATTAGGTCCAGTCTAATTTTGGGATTGGGCTTTAATATTGAGCCCAGGAGCTATGAGAGACTAGTTCATGGTTCAGCCCGAAATATGTTTCGGGCTCAGAGGCCCAAAAATAATATGACTTAAAAGTCAAGGCTTCATTTGAAAGGGACGAAAATAAAAAGAGAGGGAAATGTCAGGAGCCAAAAAAAAAATTACGGCATATATTTACCTTCCCCCCCTCCCCCGGCCCCCAATAAAAAAACCGAAGGGAGCAATGGGTGGATAGTTGCTTTAGAGAAGCTTCGTTGAATTTCGATATTCGGACAGCGAACAATCTATCTTCCTCTCTCTTTCATGTCATTATATGGAGTGGCAAAAACGTTAATCACATGTTTGCGTGTTTGTGTTTTCTTCTTTGACTCTACAATTGTCCCCAGCTTACTTATCAATGTATACACAAGTACTGTAACTATAAGAACTTATCCCTCGAATATTCCCCGTGACTCATCTCTATTTATAATATATCCTTAATTTATAATGATTTTTTTATAAATTACTTTTAATGCATTTTATCAATATAAAGAAAAACTTTAAAACTTGTTAAATTAATTTGAAATTTTAATAAATTTTTAATTTCATTCCTATTAAATGAGTAACATGCTTTCTCTTATTAATATTTAATGAATTGTGAAAGGAAAAAATTATAATAAAAAATTAGTGACATGATTTATAAATAAGATTAAAAAGGGAGTGTATATATACACACTTTCAACGATTTCATTTGTGAGTATAGTTTAATCTACTTATAAAATAGAGCCAATAAAATGAGTTGAAACCCTTACATGGTGATTGGTTGTATTGGGAGAAAATAGGTGTTTTTTAAAAAATGCAGGTCTGCCCATTATAAGGTTAGCCTACTTAATTTTTTTTCTTCCCAACCTCTAGAGAGGCTCAAAGTCAAAAGTCAGTGACACCTCAATCCAATCCTCACGCTTATGCCTCCCTCACTAATTGAGAGTATGTTTGATTCAAGAGAGAAGTGAGGGAAAAATAAGTGTATATATAACTTTATCTTTATATTATTAAATTTTTTAGTATAATATAGTTATGAATGTTTCTAACATCTAATTATAAATAAAAAAAGTAATTATCATTATTAAATGTATTATTAAAAATATATTATTGTTGAACTTGTTTAAAAAAGATAAAAAAAAGTAATAATTAAAAGAAGAGATATATTAATCATTATATAAAAAATATGCCCCTCCCCTCCCAGTCCCTCCAATTTGAAGGGGAGGAGAAAAGAAGAAAAATTTCTTAAAATTTTTTCTTCCTTACACTTTTTCTAATCAAGTAAGGAAAGAAGAGTAAAATCCTCTTTCTCTTTTCTCCCCTCTAACTAAATGGATCCCAAATCAATTTTACTTGAACTCCTAAAAAGATGAAGGTTGAAAGTCATTCGTTATAAGCCCATGGTTGTGAGCCATTAGTCGTCCGATCTTCACATCACAAACCCTATCTCCTATTCCTCCTATTCTCTAGTCGCCACGTTACAAACCCATAACCAAATTAGAAATCCCTTGACCCTCTCCTCATGGCTCTCTCTCTTGATCTTGCAGTCAACTTGGAGATCTCCTTGTCCTTGACTTCCACTTTCGCTTTAAGCCCGGTCTCCCCGCAAGCACTCATCCCTTAAGTGTGTTTGTCTTCGACTTGTGTTTGATCTCTCTCATCTTTGACTTCAAGTTTAAAAATTTTAACTAGAATCACAAAACAATAAAAAATTAAGGGAAAAATATTTAGCAAATACTCGCAACCTCATTTGGAACTTCCATCAATACTTCTGCTGTTCTTCAGTAATCTTCTATAAGAAAAAACAACATATATTATTGGCAAGAAGGCAGCAGGCTACTTCAACCCGCACCACATGACCCGTGGTTGTGGCAAGCCAGCATGTAAAATGTGATTTGAAGGGCAGGGGAGCGGAAGAGATTATTAATTGTCAAGCATGCCCTTACTCATATATTTACTATTTAAATAACTTTCTAGTTTTTTTAGCTTTTATAAATTTAAATAACTCTCTACTTTTGTTAGCTTTTATAAATTATAATAAATATATTTATATAGATTTATTATATTTTTAAAATGTGTTTTTTTAAAGATCATTTGATTTACGTTAATTTATCATTTCATTAATTTAGATATGCATTTTATTAGAGGAATAGACACATCATTATAAAAGAAACAGATTTTTTTTTTTAACCCTTGAGCGATGGTTAAAAACTATAATACCGGAAGAGGAAAAAGAAAAATAAATAATATGGATATATATTTCCTTATAAATTGAAGTATGACATCCGCGAATTGAAGAAATCATATATATATATATATATATATATTACATGTATGGTGATCACTGGATGAAAAAAAAAACATGATGATGATACACCTAATGAAGATTAATTGTGCGGGGACCGCAATAGACTAATCAAGAAAATATTGGTATATTTTAGTTTTAGGTAGAGTGATTTCTTGTGCTTTTCATTTTATTGAAGCAAGGATAATTTTGGAATACCAAAACTTTAATTTCAATAAGGATACATTAATCATGTAATTTGCCACCCCTCGAAAAAAACCCCAATTTAAATGGGAAAGGGTCTCTTCACTTTCTTTTTTTCCCCTTTTCTCTCTAATTCCCCAACAGACCATCCATCAAATTTATGTTTAGAATAAATTCATTTAATAAAATAAATTCAATGATCCCAATTAAGAAATGGAACGAAAAGTAGAGAAAATAAGTAAAAGAGACCCTCTCCGAATTTAATAGGAGCAAAATAAAGGGAGGAAAGGGGAGAGAGTGAAGATAAAATTTACCACTCCTTCCTTCCATATTTTCAACCAAACAACATACCTCCTGTAACATCCTGATTTTTTATATAATAAAGAAATTGTGGAATTTAGGTTTTGAGAAAAAAAATGATAATAATAGGAATTTATATTATTTAAGGTTATTTAGAAATAATATTATGGTTAGGTATTTAATTATGAATTTAAAAATTTAAATTTAAACCACATAAGCAATATTTAGTTAAGATATAATACATAAATAATTTTTTTTATGTATGTGTTGAAAAAAAAAAGAGAGAAGGTAGAAGGAACAAAAAAAAGGGGTGGAAGGTTGTTGTTTTTAAGTCCCACATTGGTTAGATGAGAGAAGAGAAGAGGTGCCTTCATGTATAAAAAGGAGGGGGTGTGTGCATTAGGAAGCATGAGAGGCTAAGATGCAATTTAGAGAAAATTGCAACTTTTGGCCCAAAGGTTTGAATAATTAAATTCAAACCTATAGTTTTTTTTTAATATAATTTTGGGACTCACAATCCCATTTTTATATTATTTTTCTCTCTTCCTCTCATGTTGCTCGACGTTTTCTCACAAGGGGGAATTATTTTCTTTTCCTTCAGGTATGTTCTAACTTTCCTGTTTAGATTAGCATTTAAAAATGTATTTAATTACAAAATTAATTTTATAGTTATTTTCTAAATAATATTAGCTTTCTAGTGATATGATTATTTTGTAGGATAGAGTAAATATTTTGATTAGGATTTTTCTATAGGATAGTTAATCTGATGATATGATGGATTAAAAATATAGGTTAAAATTCTTAGGGATATAATAAATATTATAGAATATTTTCTTGAGGTTGAAACTCATGTTTAAGAATTTTTGAGTTAAAATCTAGATCTATATGGTTGAATTTATGTGGAATCTGAGACGTAGGGATAAACCTATGATTATTAAATATTTATTTAAGTATGAATAGGTATTTTTGAGGTTATAGAAAGGTGATTTGAGGCTTCAGGATAATTCTAAAATTTTTAATTTATTTTTGGATGAATTTTTAGAATGTAGAAGGATGAAATTGTGATACTAGAAGTGAATTGAGGATAAAAAAAATAGTTCATTAGGGTACGAGAATTTTAGAAAAGAATTTGGGAAGTTAAATGAGGCATAAATCTTAAATTAGTGTTAATATGGACTATAGATTTAAGACTTTCTAACTCTTTAAATTAGAGTTATTTATTTTAATGTAAAATTAATATATAGTATTGTGAAATAATTATGTAGATTATATTGACAAAGATAGTGGTGAAAAAGGAGTTGTGAAGGGGAACTTGTTATTCAAGACACAAGGTAACCATTATTAATGTGTTGTGATGGGTGTGTTTGTGAATGGTTATGTGTTGTTTTGTTGTTTGGAAACTGTATATACTTGTTTGAAATTATTGTCAAGTGGGTTAAAAATTTATTTTTGTTCATCATGATGAGATATTATTGTTCGGATATATTCCTGTTTGGATATTTGAATGATGCATGACTTGTCAGGGTATTTTAATGTATGGTGTTAATGGGAATTTCTGTTCGGTTAATTATTACCACGTGGTAAGCCCTCATTGGACCCAATGAGTGGCGTGTCGCTTGGTCCAACTCACCTTTGGCCGGGTGATTTGGCGTCCGAGCATGGCGAAAGGAGGATATAAGGTGCAGTCATGCAAATTAAATACTTGTTCGGTTTGTTTGAAAATATTGTTCGGTTAAATGTTTTGTGTGCCCACTTAGCAATCGCATGATTAGTTACAATCGCATGCATCATTACATATTAATTTTTGGTTACTGGGACTTTTAAGTCTCATTCGCCGTGGTTAATATTTTTACAGGAGCGAGTCTGGCCGAGAAAGCACCAGAGGTGTAACTGTGGTGTATGAGACACCATCTTTTACGTTGCCTCTTATTTTAGATTATACAATGTATCTTGTGCCAACTTAGGACATATCTTCTTTGTGAAGCATGTAAACTCTAATCCTTTTTATTAAAAGTATTTATATGACCAAGAGGATTATGTCTGTCCCTCTTGATTCATGACCTGATTTGAATAACATGCTATGAGGATCCTGTCTGTCCCTCATGGTTCTAATTGCTTTTTGAGATATTTTAAGACCTGTGGTATATTGTCTTGGATGTATCATGGTAAGAAAATTTTCTACCATGATAATGGTTTTAATAATTTATGAAAAATCGGTCTGTAATTTTGAGGGTGTTACACCTCCCCTCTCTTTTCCAAGAAAAAAAAAAATCTGAGCCAAACCAAAAATAAAGGACACGTGCGGAGCTTGAACTATACATGTAACCTGAGTTAGGGGGTTTTGAAATTCCTGAATGAGCTATAAACACTCTACTATAAAATTAAGCTTGGGGCTTTCAATGTTACATTAATGCCAAGATGCGTGAATGTACTATTAATCACTTCATTATATATCAAATTTATTTTCCATATATACACATAGATATTCTCAAAACTATTGCTCCCTCCATCTTATTTTCCTTTCTTTTATTTTTCTTGCCAACACCGTCCATTTTTGAATATAAGATAAAATAACCATCTTATATAGTTTAAAATAATTGATTAAGTATAATAATTATATCCAATATTCAAAAAAGCTGCATTAAATTATCTATCTGATTAATGAAAACAAATCTGTCCAATGAAAGTAAACATTGATCTCATAAGGGATAGTTTGATTTTAAAAAATGTGATAAATGCTTTTTAAAAATTGTAAATTTGCTTATAAAAAACCACATACGTCCCGTTTGGTTATTAAAATGAAATGAAATGAATTAAAAAAAAATAAGATAAAAATAAATTAAATCACCCTTCCCCTATAATAAATATGATGAAACTCATAATTAAATATATACTATAAATGTGAACACACCATTTAAAAATATTATGAATAATTATTTTTAATTTTATGAACTAAATTACCCTTCTCCCTTGTGAATGTGCTCTCTTATCTTCTTTGATGATATTATTTTTACTTTTATTTTTTAATTCATTTATTTTTAATAAGCAAATAAGACCATATTAGTTTTTGATATATTTAAAAATAGAAGTCTTGAGTTTGAATACTAGGTATGTAACAGCTACAGTGGGAAGCATACTCCTTAAAGAGGTGTGTCTTGCAAACCATTGATTGGATTAGTCTCTGGATCAAAGACTTAGGATATGAGAGTGAACGTAAAAATAAAAAATAAAAAAATCGATGGAGCAGTATTACATTAACGACACAGCTGAGTAGAGGTAACTAACCACTCCATCCATCTCATTATACATATATATGTATTATATATATAATTTACCAAATTTATTTCTCCTTTGATTTAATGTCTCTAAGAATATCATAATAAATATCAGATTACTCCAAGAATAAAAAATGTTACTGTTAAACGTTTTTTGAAATTCTAAAAAGCTTATAATACGCAACAAATTTGTTTCCTAGAAAGACAAATACAACGAAACAGTGCAAGAATCACAATTATTCAGCGGAGATGGTGCAGATCATCAATTCCCAAGATTGCAAAATAGTTTCAGTTCAGCCCTTATTAATTAAACTTGGGGATCACATGTTGCAATTCTAACAATATATCCCATCTCTCTATGCTGCAGAGATCAATTTTGTGAGTGATCAAGGGATCGTGAACATGAAAACCCCTAAATTTGCTCTCGTTCTTGTTTCCTTTCTTCTCTCTTCATATCACCATCATCTATCAACAGCGCAAGGTTCTGCAAATGACTTGATTGATCAAGTATGTCAGAAAACCAGCAATCCCACTCTGTGCGAATCCACCTTGAAGTCAGACCCAGAAAGCGTCGGAGCAGACACCAAAGGGCTCGCTCACATCATGTGTGACAAATCACTGGACAACGCTAACGAGACCTTAAACCGAGTCATCCCAGAATTGGTCGGAAAGGCCAGAGAAAAAGCTGTCGCCGACAAGCTCCAGAGTTGTCGTCTGATCTATGCCGTGACGGTAACTGGTATATCGTCTGCCGCGAGACAGTTAGATTCTGGTAAGAATGATGTTGCCCTTTCTTATTTGGAGATTGCTGCTAATGGTACTGATTCCTGTGAGAAGGTTTTCACTCTGGTGCCTCCGAAGATGGCCTCGCCTTTTCCTGATAGAACCAAGCTTCTCATGTCTCTCGTTCGTTTAGCTCAAGACATCGTTCACATGATTGTTTGATTTATGTGTGTTTTTGTTTCTCTGATGCCTAGGATTTCCATCTGATATATAAGCAATAAGGTTTGAAAACAAGAGACGTATGTGTTTTATCTGTATTTTTAGCGATCGTGCTTCACCGTCGTTTGATTACTGTGTTTTCATTAGGAGAAAATCGATTTATAACCTATATATATAATATTATACTAAAATTCATAATACCTCGCATTATTTATTTTTAAGGAATTTAATATTACTAAACAATAACATTTGACAAGTAAAGTTATTCGCTCAATAAACATTTAATTTGTTCAAGTTCTTGTCAAATTAATATTAAATTTTTGAAGGTCCTTCGTTGATATTATATTCTCCATATTTATTTACAAATCACGAGAAATATTAGTTTGCTCTTAAAATTATGTGTGATTCAAACAAATTTAATTTTTTTTATTAATCTTGTCAATTACCTTGAAGCCCTGTGCATACAGCCTCCCGTGAGTGGAATATCTTGATTGGAACCTTTTGTGATTGCTTATTACATGCCCCTCTATTTTTTTTTATTAAAAAAGGTTATTAATTCAATTGGGCCGACTGTGGATTATTTTATATATTGTGATATAAGGTAACGCGTGGCCTCTTATTGTAGATCTAGAACCATCGAATGTATGGTAGCTGAAACGTTTTGCTCGTTTTTCTTGTGATTCCTGTAGGCAGACCAGCCCCTGCAAACTAGCTATTAACCATTAGCTGTCATATTCAAGACGAGAAGAATAAATACATTGAATTTTCTTTTTTATATATTTAAATGACTTCAACCGCGATACCCACCTTTGCTAAAGCATATAATACTATAGTCTATCAAATTCAAATAAAAAAATTCCTTCAAATTATATGATAATAATCTGATATTTTAAAATATTATAATTATGCTCTTTGAACCTTTTTATCAATAAATTTTAAATTAAAAAGATCATTTTATCTTAACAAATTATAATTTTTTATTTAATTCTTGCAATTTACAAAATAAAAATTATGATTGATACTTGTTTCTCAATAACAAAATGAACTTGACAATTTGTGTTCAACTTTTGCAATTTATAAAAAAAATTAATAATTTTTTAAATAAAAATTGTGATTAAAGTTTGCTATTTTTAGTAAAGGCAAAATAATTATTTTACTTTAAAATTTATTAACACAAAGGTTGGGACTTTATTATAATTATAGTATTTTGATGGATCAAGTTATCATTTATATAATTCAAAAAAAAATTATTGTCATTTTTTCAATTTAAATTCAAATCTTTTATAAATAAAGGGATAACAACTTCAGATGAATCTATAAATGTTGTTACAGTTAATAAACATATTTGAATGTTGAGATGGTAGCCATGTATATTTAATAATATTAATAGTAATAATTTAGTTATACTCATTTCGATGCAAAATTAATCAAGGTCACACTTTTTTGTTGGATAAAAGATGATAACATAAACAAAAAAGATTACATCAGAAATAGTTATTATATACTTAAAATTATTAAAAAATTCTATAAATTTTTCAATTTTGCTCTTTTTGCCATTAACAATCACGATATTTTTTTTAAGAATTGAAATGATAATAAATAAATATGGAGCAATTTTTTTTTAAAAGTAGAAGAATAATTGCTCGAATTTTTTCTTTTATTAACTTATTAAGGACAAAAAAGTTTCAAAATTTGTCTTATATTAAGGATTAGAATGAGTGCTTACTTATCAAGGAAAAAAATAAATTTTCTCATATTTAAAGTTTAGACAAAAAATATTTTTTTCATTAAAGAGTTATGGAGAGTATATATTTCAAGATTTTTTACTTTTAAAATTCTATTTCTATCCATTCCCCACCCACAAGGTCTATTTCTTATTATTAGATTTTTAAATATATATTAAAAAGGCTAATAAGAATTTAGCTCAGTACTCATAGTTAATATCAAATCACCAGATTCAATTTTGTTTGGACCAAAACACCCACCTTAACATGACTAGCAACTAGTAATTATATTATTAAGATACATGCATGCATGAGTTTTATACAAAAAAAAAAAAAGGAGATACATGCATGTGGCGGTGAAAATTCTCTTAAAATTAAAAAACGTACATTTTTTAAAAAATGCGCATGAGTGTTCATATACAGAGCTAAATGCATGAACACTCTAGGATGGATCCTCCCCCCACATTTGGATGTTCCTTTGGTAAAAATTGTAACGCGTGCTTGTAAAAATTCTAAAAATAGATTTTGCCCTCCTATTCAATATTTTTTTTTCAAGTTGGCCCCTCACTCGTTCCTTTCTAACCCGTTCCTGCTCATACGGACACCATGTCAAAGGTGCTAAATGATTATAGAGCTTTGCTATATCACGATCTTCCAATGAAATTGTTATATTGTTCACCTCCTTTGTATTTTAAAAACATAGTGAGGTGCGAAATAGAAATTGTGGTGGGTCACGGGGTTAAATTAATCATTTGAACTTCATTTAGTAAAAAAATTACGTATGAAGTGGAATTTCAAAATTTTCAACCAAAATATTTTTGGTTCCTAGTTTTGCAAATAGAAGGGATATTTTATAAATCCCGGAAAAAAAAGGGATGTCGATCTGGATCAAGCCAAGTTAAACCACACGTAGGATTCAAACTCTCCAAACAATTTCTACCAAGAAAATCTCTACAGACAATAATTGTTAGTCTTTTTCTTTTTTCCATTTTAGCATGCTCTTGATTCTTGAATGTCGTGACGAATTCGGGGTATGGAGGCAAATTTGAAAATATAATATGAAGCAGGGGGGTCCAAAAATTATTTCAGTATTTCTTATAAGTAAAAATTCTAATTTCTTTAAAGAGTGATTATCCTTCCTTCCCTCTAGATTCGTCCCTGTGTTGAATTTGGCAAATAAAAAGCAAGATTTATCATTTAGTTCAATTTAAAAAAAATTGTTCCAAAAATAATAAATTTTATTTATAGAAACCAAATTCAAAATTGATCTATCTAAAGTTGCAAAAATAAATTATTTTTAAAAACAATGAACCGAATTAATTAACAAGAGCGAGAAAAAGAAGAGATGAACTTTACTATCAACACTGAACCAAGCATGAAAATAAAAGCCAAGTGAAGAGGATTATTATGTTAAAAAAAAAATCAATAGATTCACATTTTGGCAAAATCCAATTGTTAAAATTAATTTGATTTTGATATAAAATCGAATCCAAACGAAGTGATAAACAAGCTTACTCCAATCGATAACTGACAATATTTTTCCAAGAGGATAGATCCAATAAATAAAGAATAATTTCCTAAAAAAAAATAAAGAATAATTGAGAGCGGTACTTGGACAGTAGGGTTCAAAACTATTGTTTAATTATTACCCAAAAAAACTAATTTTATAATATTCATAAATTTATATAAAATCAAATTATAAAACTCCGACTCCTAGCGAGCTGCTGATGTGGAATTGCATCTACTGACGTGTCATGCGATACTACTTTTATTGGCCAGGAATTTGTCCAAGCCAACGCTATACGTGTGCCCGCTTTCGACATCCATGCACTTTTCTCGTGAAGCCACGTGCCCCTCTTCTTCCTCCCCGACGCATAAGAACCACAGCCATCCCCCAATCGCACGCGCTCACTCTTTCCTTTTCTCTTTTACTCCAATCAATCCCTACCGTCTATCAACACATCACCCTGAATAAGGAGAAGACTACACCGAAATCTAATATATCCACCCGCAGAGAAACATAACCTGCGCTCTTCTTTGCATCTCTCGCTTGCAAGCAATGTTTCTTCTTTGAACAAGGAGTCCTAATTGGAGGCCAACGAGAGGGAGGAAGAAAAAACAAAAAAAAACCCTCATTAGCTATCACTCTTTTCATTTTTTTATAAATTATTTTTATTAACTTCATCAATATTAAAATAAAAAAAATATAAAATTTTAAATATATTTTTATATAATAAATTTAAAGAATAATATGATATTATTTTTTTCTATCATAAAAGTTAATTTTAAAAATATTTTTAAATATTATTTAAAGAATCATATCATAATTTATGAATAAAATTAAGTAAATTTTTTAAAATATATTTTATAAATGAGAGCAAGCATATTTCAAAAATTTATTTGAAATTTAAAATTACTAATAAATAAGTGACGGTTTCAGGCCAGAATAATCTCGACCGTTTAATCTTCGCCAGATCTATCACTATAAGCCTATAACTTCTACTCCCTCGCTTTTTCAATCTTGGCTCACCTTCCTTACAAATACGTGTCTCAGGCAATTGACTTATCTCCAGGTCGTTCTTGATATTCTCCATCCGATCCTCCTTCGAACTTCGCCATTTGATTCTTCGTTCTGATTCGCTCCTTCCGCCATCCCTATAGATGGCGTTTTCTCTCCGCATTGGTTGCACCGGCAGCAATCGTAGTTTTGCCAAGTTCGGCATCGACAATAATCTGTGTAGTCTCTGTGGCGGTGCGCCACGGCCCATGTCTGTGATGTTCGTTGGACGTCAGAGCCGTTCGAGGGGACAGAATAGGAGGATCACTGCGGCCGCTGCCTTGATGACAGCTCCGGCCATGGCGGCTACCGGTTTCCAGGAGAATTTTTTGAGTTTGGATATGGAACCGCGCGGTAAGAGCGATCGGTCAGAAGGAAAAGATGCTGCCGACTCGAGCGATAGGTTGGATAGGTGGATGAGGGATTCTGTGGTAGAGATCGTCAAAAATCTGAGGGAGGCGCCGTTGTTAGTGCAGGTTTTTCCAAAGGGCTATACTGACGGCGGTGGCGATGGTCATATGATGAAGACAAGGACAACGACGGCGACGGCGACCTTGGTGACAGAGAAGAGGGCGACGGAGGAGAATTGGCCAGAGGCGAAGGGAAAATGGCGACAGGAAATGGCGCCATTGCCAGAAGGCCTTATATTGGTGGAAGAATTGACCGGCGACGATCTCACCGGGAAAGAACGAATAAAAGGGAGAGAAAACACGACGAAGGTTTGGGGGTAGTGGTCCAGGGCAGACGGGCAGGATGCGGGCCGGTTTGCTATTTGTTGAAGACGACTCGGGTCGGGTCATGCCAGACGGGACCTTGTTGCACCCACTATTGCTTAACAAGAGTGAAGGACTTGATGGAAACTGTGGAATCACAATTCAAGAATCTCTGGCTGGTTCACAGCGAGAACCAGTGATTAATGTTATTTTATTTTTTAGATATTTGATCAAGAAACTGTATAAAATATAAATAAGATTCATCCTGCAGTGCCATGACCTTGTTCTGGCCATTGATCTTGCTCGGATGTGTACAGAGTCAGTGACACACTGAAATATTTTTCAATTAATCTTCGCATCTAGTTTTCAACATTCCATGTCTGATTTCATTATCTACCTTAATCTTGTTATGTTTGATGATCTTGATCTTTGCTTCGATGCAACTCTTGAGATCCGATCTCTGTACGTGCTCGGTGCTTGCTTTGAAGTGAAGCCTTGTATTGCTGTTTTCATTGCTGTCCAATTATTCAGCTAGTAATTGTTACATTTAATTAATAAATAACAAACGATAAACAATGGCTGAAAGAATCACATGCTATTCGCCTGCCTACAATGAATCGACATCAATGATTAGCTTTGCCTAACTTGCACAGTTTTTTGTTTTTTTTTTTTTTTTTTGCTTTATGTGACCATAAACAACAATGAAACGTGTGAAAAAAAAAAAAAAAAAAACAGAGCTGATGAATCAAAGCCATCACACAAGCAAGTCGCTGAGAGTAACTCGTCAAATTTGTCACTTCTACCATCATCTTTATTCAAAAGAAGTCAATACTGACATATTTCTTCCAATCTTATTATTTATAGAATAGGGAGAGAATATTTCTTTATGTTATTTATAAGTTATATTGTTAATTTTTTTATATTCAAGCCACTGTATTAAATTTTTATTATAATTTTTTTATCACCCATTAAATGTTGGTGGAAAAAAATTATCAAAATATGTATATTTAATAAATATAAAGTTGAGAATTTACTAAATTTTTAAACAATGTTAATGAATTTTAAATTTTTTTATTCTAATAAAACATGTTAAAAATGATATATAAATAGAATCAGAAGAGTGACATTGATTACAACGCATTAAAACCAAAAGCGAAACAAGAAAATTGTCATTAATACATCTACATATGCTCTTTTAATTCAATTTATAAGTCGGGAAGAGTAATTGTTCTGATTTCATTTATATGGCATGTTTTTAATTTTTGTATATGTTTCCATCCTTTGACCCCTATTAAATACTCTCTCAATATTTTTTATAAGTCATTTTTATCAACTTCATCAATATTAATATAAAAAAAGTAAAAAGAATAAAATATACATAAAATTTTAAATATGTTTCTATGTAACAAATTTAAAAGTAATATCATATTACTCTTTCTCTTTCATAAAGGGTAATTTTACAAATATTTTTTAAATATTACATAAAAGGTTGTACCATAATTTATAAATGGAACATAATAGGTCTTCTAGAATATGCCTTATAAATGAAATCGGAGAAAGTAATGTTGTAAAGGTTATTAAATACTGTATTACTTTATGTTTAAAGCATATTAAAGTTAGAAGCATATTGAATTTTTAGAATGAGTCAAAGATATTTAATGTTTTATTTGATTTTAATAAAATATGTGAATATTTACTTATATTAGCGACAGGGGGTGATTGCCCCCTCACAATTTCATTAGTTTCTTGAAATTTTTTAGATTTTTTTTATCTTACTTGATAAAAAATTGTAAGAATTAGTGTTGGTCTCTCATATTTTAAGTAATGTTTTCCCCATGTATTGGATTTTGGATTTGTCCCAAGTTATACGTAGGATAAAAGAAAGTGACTTGCATGCCCCCACCTTCCCTCGGAGCCCAAGCACAAAAAAAACCCCAAACTTAAAAGTAGAGTTGAAAATTTGAATGGGTCAGGTCTATTTGCATTCGGCCCGAATAGGCCTGATTTCTTGAGAAGTTCAAATAGTTAGGTTTGGTCTGAATTTTTTCGAGTTTTGGATGACCCAAATACTCGAATTTATATTTTTAAAATTATTTTTAATTAATTTTTTTCACTTTAAAATTAATTATTTTATTTTGTAAAAAATATAAATTATATTTTTTGATATTTAAATGATGTATAGGAGTCAAATATATGATATTTTAATATAAAATAACCTAAAACATAATTAATTAATTAATATTTATCATATTTAATATATTTTATAAAAATAAAATATTTTTATTTGGGCTTGGCCTGAATTTTTTTGGACTTATTCGGGAGCCTGAATATAAAAAAGTTGTATTTTTTTAAGCTCGAATCTAACTTTTTTCGGACAGGTTTAAGCTAGTTTGTCAGATTCGACCCGAATTACCAGCTCTACCTAAAAGAAACCTGTATTTGGAAACGTAACAATTTGTTTTTTGAAATACGTACAATGTTTTTGGACCGGAAAGATGTTTTTCCTGTAATTGGATTTGTCCCAAGTTATACGTAGGATAAAAGAAAGTGACTTGCATGCCCCCACCTTCCCTCGGAGCCCAAGCACAAAAAAAACCCCAAACTTAAAGTAGAGTTGAAAATTTGAATGGGTCAGGTCTATTTGCATTCGGCCCGAATAGGCCTGATTTCTTGAGAAGTTCAAATAGTTAGGTTTGGTCTGAATTTTTTCGAGTTTTGGATGACCCAAATACTCGAATTTTATTTTTAAAATTATTTTTAATTAATTTTTTTCACTTTAAAATTAATTATTTTATTTTGTAAAAATATAAATTATATTTTTTGATATTTAAATGATGTATAGGAGTCAAATATATGATATTTTAATATAAAATAACCTAAAACATAATTAATTAATTAATATTTATCATATTTAATATTTTTATAAAAATAAAATATTTTTATTTGGGCTTGGCCTGAATTTTTTTGGACTTATTCGAGAGCCTGAATATAAAAAAGTTGTATTTTTTTAAGCTCGAATCTAACTTTTTTCGGACGGGTTTAAGCTAGTTTGTCAGATTCGACCCGAATTACCAGCTCTACCTAAAAGAAACCTGTATTTGGAAACGTAACAATTTGTTTTTTGAAATACGTACAATGTTTTTGGACCGGAAAGATGTTTTTCCTGAATGGATTTTCGTTTTTTTCCCCGAAATAATTGCTCTTTTTTTTTTTGGGTGCTGTCAGGGAAAGTATAGTTATATTATATATATTATATACTTAAGCATGTTATTTAAAAATCACTTTTATGTATTTTAATGAAATAAAAAAAATTAAACGTTATTAATTTTATCTTAAAATTTATCAAGTTTTCATATCTTTTTTCTTGTACAGACAAAAAGAATTATTTATAATAAATTTTTTAATATTTAATAAATTTAATAAATATAAAAAATAAAGATGAATATAAAAATAATAAAATATCCTATAAATATGATTAAAATTATTTTTCTTTGATTGCTTTATAAACAGGACAAAAACAGCTGTTGCTGGTCACATGATATACTTAATCATCGTGCGGTCTTTAAAAGTCAGGACCAAAATTCATCTTTCAAAAGAGTAGTCCACTGACATATACCCTGATCATGCCAATTTATGCTTAGTGTTGAATATTTGTTTGACTAACTATGTAAAGAGTAAAATAATTGTATAGATATAACAGATTACTCGTGCGTATTTTAGTTTTAAAAACCTAAACTTGCGACGTATTATCTCAGTCAGTATCATTAAAGTCCGTTGACAAGAGAAAATCAATGGGTTTATTAATTTCGTTGACTTGCATGCACACCGAGTTTTTTAGGTGAAGAATCGAGTTTTCGCAGGAAATTCACTCTCTCAATCATCACTTTTCCCACTGACTTTATGCTGACCATTCCTTGGCTAGTAATAGCATGGTGAAAAAACAAATGAATAAAAGGTGAAAAGTCAGATTTGTCCCTTACCAACTAAAAAAAAAAATCTTATAAGGATAAATTAATTAATGGGCAAATTTCAGACAAAGACCCTCAACCAAACTTAATGAGAAAGAGAAACCCAATTTTTTAAAAAATCACTAAAGAATTTGTATGGAATTTCGGTTAAATTTGTGATAAAAATAATAAAATTATTCTTATTTAAATGAACAACTTATTAGTTATCAATATTATATATTGTTTATTTACTTGATAAATATTATTCATTTTTTTTACTTTACTTGTTTATAACCCCATTTTCACTTGATTTTATCATATATTGGTTTCATGATTATAGTTGGGAATATAGGCGGGCTCAGCTCCTTGAGCCCATTTATCTATTTTCAGTCTCTTTTTTTAGACCTAACTCTTATGTAAAGGGCTTAGGGTCAGGCTTGAAAGTCTTGTTCAAAAAAATTAAAATTAAATATTATAAATTAATTAAAATATTTTGAAGTTAAAAAAAAATTCACACAATATTTTAAAAATTAAAAATATATTTAGAAATCTAAACAACACACATTTATCAATCAAAACGTAAATCCTCTTTATCCTCATCATTTACAAATAAAACATTAAATCTCTCATATGTAACTGTACTTGTTGAAGATGGAGGTGAAAATTCAATGTTAATTATCTTTATAACTTCTTCTTGATCACCTATAATAAATATTAATCAAATATATATATGTATGTATATATATATAATAATCAAGCTTATTGGAGCTTGGAGGGCCACCCAGGGCCGAGTCTTTTTTCACAGGGCTTATCAGGGTCATGCTTTCAAGCCCGATTTTTTTGAAAAAAATAATTTTTAAAGCTTGAACCCTTATTTAAATAGGGCCTACAAGCTCAGCTTTTTAGGCCTGGTCTAAGATGACTTGTTTGTTATCATACTATATACTATTCATGTACTTATTATAAAATATTGTTTATTTTCCTACTTCACTTGTTTATGACCCTTTGAATGAAATTAAGTGAAATAGAAAACAAATATATTCTATAAGTAAATAAATAACATATAACATAGAAACAAATAAGTCATTTATGTTATTCATTTAAATGAGGGTAATTTTATCTTTTCGACTACAAATTCAACATAAATTTTGCATGGGTCCTTTAGTTTCAAAAATTTTGAAGTTCTCTTTTTCATTAAATTGGATCAGTGTCCTGACTGAAATGTTCCCTTATTAATTGATATCCTGTCTTTCCATTTTCTATCTTATTTCTATTCCACTAAACATAGTAGTGAATATTCCCACACAACTTGAAACACCAAAAACAAAGTTTTAAATAATCATGTAGGTCCTGTTTGTGTTTTGTTTTTAGAAACGGTTTTGTATTTTAAAAACAACAGAATTAAAAATTCAATTGGATAGATATTTTGAATTTAATTGTCTTTAAAACTTTTTTCATCTTTTATTTTTAAAAATAAAAAATTGGAACATCTTAAATTTGTTTTCATTTTTTATTTTTAAAATGCATTATATTTAATTATTAAAAATTGCAATCACCTTGACTAATTACCATTACAAGCCATCATTATCAATCGTTAGTGAGCATCACGATCGGCCAATTTTTTAGTTCTAAGATATTTTTAAATTAATACAATGAAATAGATTTTGTTTTTTTTTGGAAAATAATTATTAAAATCATATTAAAAACTGTGTTTTTTTAAAAATAGGAACATGATCAAATAGACCCGTAATTTCCACTTCTATTTTACAACAGTGCTCAAGATTTCTTTCGCAAAAGATTTACGTGTATTTTAATGCTTTACCAAAAAAAAAAAACAAGAAACATGTATTTTAATCATAGCATCCCATAATAGGTTGGATTTACATGTGTTTCAACACGTGCAAAGCAGATGAGTGTAACTAAATCTATAATTTTGTTGGTAAATAATATATAAATATCTTTATAAGTATTTTTAAAATTTTAAAGCCTACCGTCATCTTAATAAATTATTCAAGTTAAGACGCAGTTTACTTGAAATTTTTGCACGCCTTCATATGCATGGCATATTGTTTTATTAAAATTAATTTTTTTTTTATTTTCATATACTTTTAAAACTCATTGTTTTGTCATGTGAAACATGTTTGAAATTCATATATACATCAGTACTCAGCTACATTATTGCCACATGAGTTTATATGGGTTCATATAACTGATCACGTTACATAAAAATAAATATTTTTTGATATATTTTAACGCTCAACCCATCCAAAATTAGTGTAAGATACAATTCCAAGATTAATAATTTAACAAAAGCTCCATGACAAATAAATCGATACAAAACATAAAATTTGTTGCAGGTGCATTATTTTTGAGTTACGAATGTTTCGTTCTATTTTTCAAATCTGTAAAATACACTAAAAACTCTCCAATTTAAATTTAAATAACAAAAAGGGGTAAGGTCAGTGATTCAATGAGTATCATCAATTCATCATAAAAACAAACAATATCCTGACTTGTGCGAGCTTTCAAGAGTACAATTCAACTGATTTAAATTTTCTGCTACATAAAAAAATTAGGCCCCTTTAACTTGGTTTAAGATTAAAAATAAATTATTTATATATTTTTTAGAGATTTTTAAAAAAAAATATTTTGTAGAAATTTTATATAAAGCAGGTTTATTTTATGTTTAGTTACAGTAATAAAAAAAACTAGTTAGTTATTTTTAAATTTCATGATATTTTCAATTATTATCTAAAATATCTTCCATTGAACCATTTTTGCTTCATTGATGGGCTAGCCGAAGCTAGAAGACAGCAAACAAGGTAACAATGACAGTACAAAATCAAAAATCAGTGAGACAAACCCTCGCTGTGGAAATTCAAAAGCAGACTTTCACATCCTTTGGGAGGATCAAGAAGCTAAGAAAAAGCATGTGGAGAGCAGTGTGCCATTGTAGCCAGGTAATTTGCACAATTCATTGCCTCACACGGAGCATGAAGTAATTGGTAATCACCGTGACCAAAAACCAGTTTTTGCACTTCACATGTGTCTTTGAAAAAAGGATGGTCATGACTCACTCCTCAGTAAATGCAGCCTATAGCCTCCAAAGAGTCAGAGTATATCCTCACCTTTTCAAATTTGAGACTCATGCAAAGGTGGACGCCAAATTCGATAGCTTGTATCTCAGCAGCAGTAATGGGGATGTTTCCCAGAGGTTGCATGGAAATCCACCAATCCAATTGCTCTTAAGAGTTTCAAGCAAGTCCACCACAGGGAGGCTGCATTGTTTTGACAATGAAGCCGAGGACGCATCAACATCTACTCTTAACAAGACCTTGCGGTGGTGGAAGCCAAGAGGAGCCGTGGGAGTTGCACTTGTCCAGGTGTTGTGCTTTGAGTGATCCCGCGTCTCTTCCCACAACAAGCTTCTTCTTTCGTGAGTTAATGATGTCACTGGTACCATACTTCTTTCCTACACCTTTGCATCGATGTGTCCACAAAAGCCAACACACATTTCTAAACACTTTGAGCCAAGGCCAGCGTTTGAAATTTCCGCCACTGACCTGATGTCTAGTGTTCCAACTTAATTCATTCCTGCAAGCTACAAGAGAAAAATTAGCTATGATAAATAGGTTTAATAATTTATTTCCATGTATTTTTTGCTCCCAAGCAATCTCTCAGAATGTGTAGTGTATTCTCCATACAATCACACTCAAAAAGGCAAATGGCATCCTCAGTAAAGCCTCTCTTCACTCTCAATTGGTTACTTGGAATTCTCTCATGAAGCACTTTTTTTCACTTTTTCCTATAGGGTTCATTTCTATAAGCATTTTCAAATTGGGTCCCTGTTAGCTAACGCACTCTCGTCCAGGAAACTATAAGAAAAACGAACAGAGAATCTACCATTACTCCCAACTTTCCACTAGAAAGTATCATTTTGTTGAGTGGAGTGAAGAGGAAGAATAGTAGAGATTCTGTTGACAATCTCAGCAGAAAAATGCCCATGAAGGTATTCTCTACCCCGAATCATCCATTGAACCATTATAAATACGGCAAAGTCCGGTTTGAGCCCCGGAGCGCAAAAGGCTTGGGTAGCAACCAGATCGGTAACCCAATACAAATAGGATGAAGCCCAATAGGAGTTGGGTCATTCAAGCACAGCAACCAAACGCGAGAAGGGCAACGTCGTTTAAGTGGCAAAATGGCACACGACACGAGTGTCAAATGCGTTTAACACGGAGCGCAAACTTCACTTCACTCCCTCCAAGCTCCGAGCTTTTTTGAATTTGAACAGAACCCAGGGAGGCCTTTTTGGCGTCTCCCTCCTAGTGACACCGAGCATGTTCGTATCTAATCTATCTCCTACCCCATTATTATTAGATTATTCATCATACAACGTTTCTAAACTCTGAGCGCGCTCTCTTTCTCTCTCTTCCTCAATTCAAATCCATTCCCCCATTGTACTACTTCAATTACTCTTCTCGACAAACTCCACAGATCCCATTCCCTCCTTCCATCCCTGGCCAATTTCAGAAGCACTAATCCAACCTACTCAGCCAATTCAATCAATCCCCTTTCCTTCCGAGTCATTCGTCATTTACAGCACCTATATCCCTTCTTCATTCACCGCGGTTTGATTGATGATCCAAATCAATTTTTGGTGGTGTAAGTGCTAGGGTTGAATTGGGTTGGCAGGATTCATGGATGAAGAAAGCAATTCGGCGATGGTATCAGGGAAATCTCTGATGACGTCCAGATCGGATTACAAGGTAGGATTCTCCGGCATTGGAGTTGTTCTGTACAAAGTTCTCTTATTTTCTTACTCGTTTTTTGCTTCATTCCTCCGGGCGTTTTAGGCTGTGGGAGAGAAGCGTCCAAGCACAACTCATCTGGAAGAGAATAGCGACCTCGCTCGAAAACGAGTGAAAATGAGAGATCTTGACTCCGTGATTCAGTCTGCAGGTAATTCTGAGTGAATGTTAGTAATTTGTATGCTCATGTCCACTCCTAATCAAGCAAAGGACTAACGATTTGTTTTCAAAAGAGTTGAGCTTTATGGTGAAGTTGAAATGTTGTTTCAACACTAGCACATTACTGCTTCTAATGAGATAATTGATGTTTTGTCGAATGATAATTATTAATTCTCTGCGGCTGGGCGGGGCCTTGGGGAGAGCAAGTACTGTGCGATTTTGGTTGATTGCCTTTGTATTCTAATTCATTCACAATAAATTGCTTTCCCTTTTAACCGTGAAAGAAATTACTTGTATGAATCATCCTGCGTGCATACTCGTCTAACATCGAATTTAATTTATTCTGCTTGTGCTACAGAAACTAATACCCGTTCTCGAGGGACCTTTGGGGACAAAGAACATAATTTTCCATTACCATCGGGTGAAAATGATGTTTCACAAGTGACTGAGGTCCCTGTACCTCTGGAACACCATGCTTCTTCTCAAGCCGAAAAAATGGGAACGAACGCATGCTCGGTAGAGGTTAATCCTGTCCCCAGCTCACTTGATCTTAATTCCGAAGCTCTCTGTGCCAGAATTTTATCCCGTGATAGAAGTGGGGAATGTGGCAAGAATCCTGCCGAAGTATCCTTTCCTGGGAAGCATGATAGGGGCCCCCTTACTAGTGTAAATTCTAAAGGAATTGACGTCGATCTTAATGCAGAAGATGTTACAAGCTGTATAAATTTGGACCCAGCACAGGCTTACATGGAACGCGCTCAATTTAAGTCTAAAGATGTTTCTGAGAGTGGTAGCTGTATTGGGCCTTCAAAAGAAAAGGATCCTATGAGACTATGGAGGGAGATGAAGCGAAACGGTTTTCTTTCATATTCTCATGGAGGTATTCCGATGCCAAACAAACGAGGTAGAAAAAGTAAAAACGATATCCTCAAGCAAAAGTTAGAACTTGCAAAAAAAGAGCAAGTTGACAGGTTCTCAAAGATTGCTGCTCCAAGTGGACTGCTGAATGAATTAAACCCCGGGATTATTAATCATGTAAGAAATAAAAAACAGGTTCATTCGATTATAGAGGCTATTGTCTCTGAAAAGCATGAAAATGCCAACGTCGGATGCAAGCAAGCAGCACATTTTACAGGTGAAAGTACGGAAGTTAGCAAAAGGGATTTAGAATACGTAACAGAAGCAGGAAAGCATCTACATTTCTTTCATCGAGAAGGGACCCTTCATAATTCTGCGGGTAATAAGAAAGCAAAAAAGTATCCTATGGCTACGGATGATTCCTGGACTTTGGAGGGTAAGGTTGGTGAAAATGACACCTGCATGGGGGAGAAAGGAAGGTTTAAAAGTTGTGGATCGCAATTCACCCATGTTACCGAAGATGACATTTTAGCTCTGAAGTTGTCTTCTTCAACAAAGGCATCTGTGAGTTCTAGCTCTTTGTCAAATGAGGAATCATCAAACTTTACTAGCGTTTCGTCTCTTTCCCTGGAAGGCTAGTAGTCACTTTCCTCATACTTAAACATTATTATTTTTCAAGATTTATATTTAGCCACTCTCCTTATGCTTTTTTTGGTTCAGGCATTCCCGGAGGAGAGATGAAAAGATAGCAAATTTAGTTTTTTGAAAGTTAGCGATCAACATTGTGCAAAAAAAATAATTATGCTTTAGAATTTGCTTCTTAGATCATCATGCATTCTGCAGAGCTTGTAATCTACTTGTTTCTCCTTATCGATTGTGTTTCAAAGACTAGGCAACTGAAAAAATAAGGCTTTGCTGATAAAGATGCTTCTAGTTGTTTTTTCAGCTGCTACTGTTGCATCTCAATGGTTGGAGCTCCTTCATCAAGACATCAAAGGGCGCCTCTCGGGTAATTCCATTTTTATTTCATTTTGCCAGGTTGTGGGCAGTGCAATCGCTTACATTCAGTATCGTACTTTTTTTCTGCTTCTTCAGCTTTGCGTCGCAGTAGGAGGAGAGTTCGAGCTGTTATTAATACTGAATTACCTTACCTTGTGTCAAAGGAATTCTCAAATATACAAGAAAATGATTCTTCTGCGATGAAAACCACTACGGGACTCCCGTATAGTAAAATTGCAGAAATGCATCGGACAAGATGGACTGCCTTGTTTGATCAGATGGATGAAGCACTTGCTGAAGAAGAAAAGCAACTTGTGAGTACACAAAAGATAGATAATCTTTCCTTTTACTGGTCTCACTGTTTTCACAGACTTTGTTGGGTTTAACTTCATGGGAAGAAGTCATCTGGGGGTTTGAAATGTAATCCCTCTGTTTATCAGCGAAGCTAAGGTTCCAATCTACTTAGTTAACACACGAATCTGGCTTCTCCATCCAATAATAATGGGTTCTAGATATGTGCCTGGTGAACTAATGTTCTTAGGAGTATTAATGAGTGTTTTTTTTTCCCTGCTCCCGCTTCAGTGATGTCTGACACGATTACACAGTAAGACCTTTGTTTGCTTCTCTTAATCGAAATCTGCACTATTCCTGTTCATAATTTCAGGAAAGTTGGTTAAATCAAGTAAAAGAAAAGCAATTGCTATGTGACCAGGGTCTCCAACATGTAAATTGCAACTCAGCTTATGGTTTACAAATGCTGGGGACTATAGAAAATGACTCCAGGTATATCTCTTACTAAGCTGGTATTAACTATAAGCTAAATTTAAATATAGTTTTTTTGTGCATTTATTCTTTTGTTCTTTGACAAACTTATGGCATGCGTAATTTTTTTTTTAAGACTGAATTACATGATGTTTAATATTAAAACCCGTACATGTGTATGCAAGACTCACACCAAATCGTGTACCGTTTAGTTTTAAAAATCCTTCATCAAAAATAACTCTAATCACGTGATCCGCAGTTTTAAAAGGCTTATTTTTATCCGACAATTTAGTAGCACGAATGTAAAGGTTGTACTTCAAGTTTTTTCACCAGTTATTAACAATTGGTGTTATGAACTTACGTTTAAATTTGCGCTATTTAAAATTCTGCAGTTTGCTTCTTTCGTCCTTTGGCATATTTTATGGCATCCGCATATGATAGAACTAAAAACGATAATCTATTAACGATATTTCCGAAACTCTGGGTTAGGAGAGATAAAAACATACAAATTAAAGCACAGTTCATCTGTTAGCAGGCATAACAATGGTCATAGTTTTTTTTCCTTCCTGGGATATGGTCGTGATGTTTTTATAAAACTGGAGAAAAGAGAAAACTGGAATTACAGAGCATTCTTAAAAGGCCCAAAAAAATCTGATTTGGTTCTTCGGGCAATCAGATGATAAGGGTGGAGTGGAATATATGTGGAGATCTAAAGTTCAATTTCCCAGTGGATCAAAATAGACCCTCCCTTGACTTAGGGGTTCAGTTGTGGCTTAACTTTAAAGGCTGACCAAGGATTTTACATATTAAAAAAAAAAAAAAAGGATTTTACAAAGTTGTTAATTTTAAGTTTAATTTTGTGCAGCCTACCTCATTTATTAATATTTTTTTGTCTAAAACCCTAGAAACCCTTGTCCACGTTATCAAAATTGAGGGTCCAGGATGTCTTTCATCAACTTTTCATGTTGTAATGGCATTTTAGTCATCTTTCTACTAAGCGAGCCGATGCTAATAGAGTTTTGGGGAGAAATGTGAGCAGATGGGGTATACTGCACGAAACTGAAAGTTTGGAGGTGTATTTTTGAAGCTGAGGAAACGACGGGTTGTTTAAACTTTTTAAGTTGACGGTTCTCAGGAAAGTTTTTAACATTCATTTGGCTGAATGAGTGTGGATTTGCTGATAAATCTGGTTTTAGTTCTCTCTAGTGAGCTCTAGACCGCTGAACTTCGCGATTCTGAGTTAGGCTGGTGCTAGTATATAAAACTGAGCACAATCATATTTCCTAGACGTGGATTAGGTCTCATGACGGCAACAATATTCAAGTTTCTCAAATGCACTAATTTTTTTATCTTGTGCTTTGCTATTCACTGATTGGAAGCTTGGATCTCGTCACCGTGGTTTGCGTCTATTGAACTTGCTTTCTGTTGTGATCTTCTTTAATGTAACTTTTCAGTTTTGCATTCGTCGCAAGTGAAGCTTAATCTGCATTTTCTAGCGAGTCTACTATTTCTTGTTTCTGCTTCTTGGTACGTTGTAATTATTAATTCTTCCCAATTTTTAACAACCTCTCTCTCTAAATGGATTGGTTTTCTTGAGTTTTTGCTGCAACTTGCTTTCTTTGTGGCTCACAATGACAAAGCCTAATTAGTTTGTTGCTTTGTGATTATCCACTGTAATTTTGTTTTTCAAGTATGAAAATTGGATGATTGATTTTGAAATTTATGAGAGCGTGAAATTTGTTATGCCAGTGCCCTAGACTTGGACGGCCATCTTAAACTGGACTTGAAAAATTTATTCCATGGATTTCTAAGCCAGAAAATTTTTGTACCTGGTTCCTTTGCGGGTGTTTTCTTGTAATAGCCGAAAGCATATTCTCGTCCAAAAAATAAATTAAACGTATTTATGCATGTCATCTCCCACGAATGTGATAATATAGGTATTTTATATTTTACAGAATATTGCCAACAGATAGCTCAGAGAAAGAGTTAGCTGTCAATGCAGCTGCAGCTTCTATATACTCAACATGCAGTTTCCTGTTGTCAGGAGCTAATTGATCCCGATTTGACGTTGAGAATTGTAACCTCCATTTAATTATGCAGATTTTTTTCTTCTTTCTCCTCACTGAGAAGCAGTGGCCTTGGTAATTGTCATCGGCATGAGGTCAAAAAAAAAAAAAAAACCTCAGAATTAGAACATAGTTCTGAGATGAGCAAGCTTTGTCGTTTGTTCAGATTGTAACATTAGCATTCAGCAGTGGGATTTTTTATCCTCTTTTTACTTTTTTTCACATTCATTTACCTGACTGTCAGAGTAATGCTATGCCTAGATAGTGACTGAACTGCTAGTCATTGCAGTTACTTCACAGTGTAACATTAGCAGTGTATTTCCCCCCATTTTTCACCTCATGTGCCTGATTCTGTCAGAGTAATGCTGTGCCCAAATATTTGGCTGAACTGTATCTTGTTCCAATTATTGTCTCTAATGAGTTTCAGTTTTCGATTTCAGTTTCTTGAGCATTTTGGTTGTAAGTGTGAGCCCTTCATTAATCTGGGTTCACCTAGTCATTGACCATCATTTCTTGCAACTTTTAATATTTGGGATGGCTTAGAAGCTGATATATCCAAATATCTGATTAGTCGATGAATTATTGGAACTAGTAGCTTCTTTATTAAATAGCAGAGTAAATGTCGGATTTTTCATATTGGAACAGAAAGGACCTTCTGGAGGTCTGGTGAATTGAATTGTTGTGTAAGGCTAAGCTCTGATGTCAACGTTGGATTTTAGGGAAAATACGCTTTTGATCTATACAGTTTAACTAAATCTTAATTTGATTATTTTAGTTTAAAAGTTCGTAATAAAGTCTTCGAAAAAAAAAAATTTGGGGTAGGATATGGTCTTCAAATTTAATACTTAATCCTTGCTACTTATATTCAGATACTCTCCTGACTTGTTTCTTGACGTATTTTGATATCACTGGGACTGGGTATTAAAATTTTGGACAGTGCACAAGATACAAATTTCGTTGTCTGATTTGGTTTTATACAAAGTACTAATATCTTGTAGCCCCGGGACGTAGTTGGAGACAAAAGATATATTTTTACACTAAAAATATAAACATAAAAAATGAAGTAAAAATAATCACATATTTGACAAAATATAAACAAAAATAAAATGACACTTATTTAACTCCAGCAATTTAATCATTAATTTTAAATAACACAAACCAAATTAAAATGAATAAAATGGAAAAGAAAACTGTAAGCCCATTGAAAATTACGTACTATACGATACAAAATAACATTAAAATTTATTAGAAGTTAAATATTGATTTAATAATTTTATAAAACAGCCACGACATTTAGAAAATGTAAAAAAAGAAGATAGAGGGAAATTTTCATAGATGTATCTACACGAGAGTAGTTGATTTTTGAAAAAAGAATATCAAATATGGCCATTATCATCATTAGTATCAATGCACCATCAAAATATGCGTGCTTTGTGTGTGTGTGTACATATAATCCATAAAAAACTACAATATTTATATGTCATGAATATAGTAGCTCACGTTGGTAAAAAAAAAAGGGCAAAAGAATATAGTAGCTCACATCAAACTTCGTGCAATGCCCAAGCCAACATCCCACATCTAGTCTTGTTTAGTCAATACTCGGAGATATTGAGAGATTGTAGTCTGATATAATAATTGATAACATCATAGTTTATACGATCACTTTCCCTTGAAATAAAGCTGTTAATATACATATATATATATATATATATATAACACTGTGACAAGATCAATCAATACACAGATACAATCTCTAACCACGCTTCTATGTTAACAAAGTCTGTAAGCACATTTTCTTGCAAGTAATATGGCAGTGAGTAAATTTAAGCAGAAGAAGAAACATCGTGACATGGCATATGCAGATTTAAAGCCAATTAGGTCCCACCTTGCCGGAGGCTGGTTTCGAAGGGTCATCTGAAACCTTAGCGAGCGAGCGATACTGCAATTTAACACTCTCTGCGTTGTCCAATGTCTTAACCACATACCTAAAGATTTAGATTTTCATCAACACAGGTTTAAGGTAGTCCCTTGAAAACAGCTGAAAGACAAAATCACCAAATCCTAAACTTCTATATGCATTTAGAACTATAATATTTCATTTGATATTAAGTACTTATGGCACTAATAACATCACAACCGTGTTTTTGTTAGGGCATAGATATTGAAACCTCTTCCTCCATGTGCGTGAACCCACATACAGCAACCAAGATTTGATTTAACGGCCAAAGGGAAAGAAGTTAGAAAGTGGCTGACCATCCATTCAGGCATTGTGTTGTTACAATAGCTTCCCGTCCAACAAAACGCTGTGGTGTCCTCTTGTTCCCCTAATCGAATTCGGCTCCAATCATTAGCTTTATGACACTTAGTTTAATCAAAGAGAAGATTTATAAGAAAACTCAACTTTCTGCATACTACCTTTATAATAACCCGGTCCATCACAGCAAATGGAAATTGAACACCCCTTCCTCTTGGTTGTTCCATAACTGTTGAATCACCATAACAACCCTGTCCTATGTAAAAATAAATTTTATATTAAAAATAGTGTCAAGGCACTCTTAGTAGTTTGTGATCACCTCAATTTCTTTCTCATTCTATTACATTGACACGTTAAATGGTTTGGGAGGTTTTGGGAACTGGAAAGGCAGTTACATACACACCTGATCAATTCTTTCTCTTCTTCTTTTGGATGATCGGTAAAACAGTGAGTCCTCTTCTCGACGATATGCCTGCACAGCAACTCTAAGTGCTGATCACAGCACCCAGCCACCAAAGAAAAGCATGTAAGAAAATCATACGCGTAAGCAATATAAGTTGCAGCATTGTTTAAAATCATCAGGGAAACTCCATCCAGAATTGTCAAGATTTTCAATAAATTAGTTTTGTTCGCTGAATTTTCAATCACAGATTCAGGTTCAATTTTCAGACGCTTGAACTCTCCAATCTATTAAAGATCTATGACCTATATTATTCGCAAACATATTGGATATGGAAAAAAAAATAATCATACATAAAATGAACACCCAATAGTACTAGAAAGTAGAAACTAGGAGAAGAAAATTAAATTACAAAATGATTCTACTATTTGTTTGGAAGACCAGAACATATTTAAGTACTGAGAATTAAATTTCAATGTTCTTCTGGGACAAATTTTGCTTACATAGATTTGGAGATATTGATTCTTCAGATATGGGCTGGGAACAAGTGCAACAAGCTTTCTGAAAATACATCACACAACCACGATATTAACCAGTTGACAACACGGTAATTCATAACTTAGAAAAGCAATTTCCAATGAGACAAATGGAACTTATAAATTTGACAATACTGGACCAAATTTAAAACTACCGAGCCAATAGCCCCATGTAATACTAATAAAAGGCAGATGTTAACAGTTGAGGCCATCTTCGTTGCTCACCACATCTAAAGCCAGCTACGAGGAAGATGACAAGAGAGGGAGATCAGATACATAATAGTGGTGATTCATCTAGGTTCTGTCAATCTCCTGTTAGGCGCAGATGAATTGGTCCCATGAAAGTATATTGTTCCACTTTTGTCACATTTATGTTGTTCTCGTTACATATGAAACTTAAATGCATTTACTCCGGGAACAGCGTGATGTTATTTAGATTGTTGGGGGGAGGGGGCTCTAAAACAGATAGGAGATAAAGAATAAGATCCACAATTGAATTGACAAAAGACTAGATGAAAGTAGGATAAAGGAAAGAAAGTAGATAGGCTTCGGCTTGTTGCTACAGTTCAGCAAAGTTATATCACAAACAATAACATGTTCAAAATATAGGCTAGTTCTTGAAATCATGCCATTCAATTGCGTAGAGGCATATACATAATAGAAAGAGATCCAATATTACCAGCTCCATTGTTAATAGTATTTTTCAGTTGACAAGTATAGGAAAAGGTCAATCCATAGATCATGGCATTTGATGGCTTAGAACCCACCATTCTAATAACATGCTGTATTCCTCCTCCACCAAAGGAATGTCCACAAGGCAATATCATTGCATCATCCATAAGAGATCCCCTGAATTTTTTAAACAAAACATCAATTTACAATAATGACTAAACGAAAAATATAATCATCAATATCAGCTCATGTATTAGAAGATTGAACTTGTGCTCTTGCACACATGTAAGGAGAGATACAAAAGAACACCGAATGAGTCAACCTCCTTCTGCACCACCATGACTTTTATCTTCATTCAAACAGAACGCAGTCCACAAGGAACCGGATTTCAATAAGCTGGGCATAGGACTTGTGTAGTAATCAACAAATGATAAAAGCTAAAGAGTTCAAAAGGTGACTTACGTTATAGGATCTGAAAGCACTGCTCTCAACGAGTCGCCTGACTCGCTTGAATAAATAACGTCCTTTCTTCCACTAAATCCGCAACCATTTTCCCCCGCTATAGCTTTCTGCACAGAAGCTGAGCCCTCCGTGCCTTGAAGATAGTGTGAATAATACTCCTCACAATCAGTTTCGGCAATCGTGACCGCATTCTGCGATTTATCTAACCTTTCTTGCTGATGATCTCCTTCGTTACCCCTCGAATTATTAAGCGTCGGCCCAATTTCTCCATCCTTCCCCAGCACCTCTCTACTGGATCCTACAATTCAATCCTCCAGTGAAAAACCAGTTAGCGCAACAAAAGTAAAAGTGGCTACTTTTTGAAGTTAAAGAAGCTAAATTCCCTTCCTACATACCGTAGGACGAACGATGTTGAGCTTTTCCGTTCGTTATTCCATCCACAGCACTAGCCAGGTTACCACCACTCACGCTGTTATTGTTAATATCATTAATTGAATTGGGATTGGAATTCCCTTTGCTTGCATCGTTAACATCAACTATTCTTTCTACGTCACCGCCTCCCTCAACATCGTCGTCGTCGTCGTCGTCGTCGTCAACTTCCTCATCGTCTTCACCATCCTCGCCGTCCGATTCATCACCGCTCGGAGTTGCAGTCCCGTTCCCATTCCAATTCCGGGCAGCCGGTGGGTTCCGCTGGTCTGAGCAATCCCCGTAAACATTACGACGGAACTCCACTCCCTGAGCCGCGAAAAAACGATCACGATCTACAGAGAACATCTTCTCATCAAATAAATCGCCAAGCTCCCTCGTTTTCGAACCCGGGTCCCCAACCCGACTTTGCGTTGCTCCGCATCTGTAACGCAAGGAGTCGCCTGGGAACACTAGAGGTGAATTAAGACCGTTATCGATCCTCTGATCTGAAGCAAGACCAATTTCTTCCGACGACATAATATCACGCACTGCGAAGTTCAATTTGGGAAACGGTGAAGAGAACCTATGAGCATCAGTTAGGGTTTAAAGAAATTGCTCTGTGAGAATGGCATCGGGGGAGTGGGGCCCACTTCTTGTCTAGTGCGGGAGAAGGAGAGCGTAGAAGTGACGGAAACGAAGCTGATACCGCTGTGGGAGGGTCTCCCTGGAAGAAGAAATGCACGACGTGTCGTCTGATGCCATATGAAACGACGTCGTTTGAGATGAGCTGAAAACGACAACTTCATTCTCTTCCTCTCTTTTTTTCCCCCTCTCCAGTGTCCATTCAACAAGAAGCTTGTTGGTGACGATCTTTAATTAAACCTGGAAGTATGTTCAACCTTAGACTTCGGATCCAATTCATCCAAACTTTTCTGCATATATATATATATATAAAAAAACCAATACACAATCTATTTTGTTTTCTCCGTCTAAGTTGATTCTTACTGGTAGATTGAATTGTTGTATTTACTCTTCATCTAGTTCCAAGTACACAGATGGATTTCAATTTCCATTGGTATTTGAAATCCCAAGAGATATATTTGTACTTTCTGGATTTTCTGCGTGATGCTATTGTGAGTTGAATAAATTTCGTAACATTACATATTTCTGCAATAGCCATTAGCCAAAGAGTGAAGTATGTAGAACGAAGGAGTTCAAACTGTTCAAGAGATGGTCGGAGAGTTTGAGGAACAAGTTTTGTTGCCATGCTTCATTCAAAATGATATTGAAAGAAATATATTGACATGATCATAAGCTTATTTGTCTAGCAAGAGTTGTCTTTACAACAAGTTTGGATTGCAATTTGCATGAACGATTCAGGCATAAATCATTTACGAAAAAGGAAGCAGAGAATGAAGCGGTCCCGACAACTTGTTCCTCAAACTCTAACGATCTCTCCAACCTTTTGGACTATCTCCATACCTCAAACTTTGGCTATAACACGAGCATTCAATTTTTCGGCAAAATGGTCATATATGATCATTTGATACTTGTCATTTTGTTCAATTGATGCGACTTTTCATCAGCAGTAGACCTTATTTTACTGCCAGAAGCAATAGACTTAAACTTGTTCCTTTGATATGTAGTTCATTCTCTGTGTCACTGTCGCTCATCAGCATCTGCGATCCGCTTCATATTTTACTTGTATGATCAATATCACACTGCTTTTTCTATGTCATAATTAGTTGTCAGGATGATGTTTGTTTTCTTTCTAGGTTTCCTTGTTCGTAAAATCGGTGGCCCACATGATTTCATGAGAAATCGCTGACCCATTTCCCTACAGTCTGAACATGCATTCTTTAATATCTCGTCTGGTTTTACACACACGCCTTTTATATATTAAAAAAAAAAAAAGCTAACCATGCAATCATCGGATTACTCGTATTTAAAGTTTTCTAATGTTGCTTTATTGATGGGACTCCATTCTAGAATTGAGGTTAGAAATAATTATTTGCGGATGAGATTCATGCAATGGGAGATCCAAGTGAATTAACGAAGAATGACAGTACCTCCCTCTGTAGATGGGAAATCCAATGAAGAGGAGGCTTCTTGAATATTTTGATAAAAAGGATTAATCAATATCAAAATATTTACAAAGGGAACAAAGTTGCTCATTCTTCAAACTTCATGCAATGCATAAAAATCATCTAGTTATAGAGAAAACAAAGGGAAGAGAAACAATACAAAGGAATCTGATCAATTTGTATTCTGTCAGCTATCAGCACGTGATATTACTTCTGCAACGTCATTATCACTATTACTATTATTATTGTTAGCATGAGGATAGCTGAAGTGGTTGTTGAACAGCGTGTTGCTTTGTTATTACAAAGGATCATAATGAGGATAGTTTAAATTAATTTTGAACTGGGTTTCTTGGCCTCATGCTGGGTTGGATAGGTGATCTCAGTGAATTTACTAGACAAATGTCACTTTTGGGCGAGTTTCAAAGAGGATCCATATAAGTAACAAGAAATCATTTCCGCAGCATAACAGCTTCAATCCAATGATTAAAAAAAATTGAAGCATGTAATTTTGAGCAGTTTTCAAAATAAAATGTTAGGAGTCTTTGCTAGGGAAATTTTCTTTTCTGAAAGCGGACACTTTCCTGTTAAATATTGAACCTAACATGGACTTCAACATGTTCCACTTTTGAAAGTGTGTTCCTTCCTTTCTAGGAAGTCTTGCAATTTCTTTTTAGAAGAATTTACTTATCAGTCCAAGGAATCTTGTTAGTTCTTTTGGATTTATTACTTGTTGAAGTCCATGGAGTTCACTCAAGCTCTGAAATCTGCATAGGTTTTCAGTTACGTTCTACACAGTCTTATTATTCAATAGGAAGATGTTCTAAATTTTAAGTCGTGTTGAGAGGTTAACTAAAAGGTGTTAAATTAGTTGGATCATGTCCTACACTTTCTCATGTTTTCCGATATAACGGTGTGAGTACTAAGAAAAGAAACTGAATTTTACTTAATATAATTACGAAAGCTTGTTGTGAAGCTCTAGGTCAGTTCACAAATATAGATAATTTTTCTTTTCGTGCCTTCCCTGTTAATTCTCCCCAAGAGATTATGGAGGAGTCAGTTTACATTTTCGTCAACAAAGGCACTCTAGTAAACAATTGGATCTTCTTTTTTTTTTATAAGAGTCAAAAATATTAAGTATGCACAAAAGGCCACAATTTATTCTTTAACTTTATAAATTTAGTTATTTTTCTATTCAGTGATCCCACATTTAAATATTTTAATGTTTTTATTGTAAAAATTCAAGTGGGCCCCACAATTAATTTTTTTTAATATTTTCCTTCTCTCCCCACGTCTTATTCTCTCTTCCCCGTCTCACCCTCCCTCCCTTTCTCTCGCCTTACTGCCACCGGAGGAAAGGAAAATAGAGACGCATGAAATAGGGGAAGAGTGACACCTTTTCTTCTCTTTACTTTTCTCTCCACTTCCCCATCTTCACCCTTCATTAATTTTATCTTATAAAAAAATTATTTAATAAAGTAATATTATAAATAAAATATTTAGTAAAATAATATAGAGGGTGAAAATGGAAAAGTAGAGGGAAAAGAAGAGAAAAAAAAGGAGAGTCCCCTCTTCCATGAAATAGGCCCTCCACTTCATCATCCCCGAGTGTGAAGAACCTAGCCTAAACACATGAAGCCCCAGAGACACAAGAGAAGCCCAAGCAGGAACCACAGTCTTGGACTAAGACTGAAAGAGTCTTTGCTTTGACACTAACGCGGGCTCTCCTAAGAACTTCAAGATCAGAGAAGTGAACAGAAAACCATCCCTAACTAAATCATTCACAGAAGATTTAATCCTTAGATATGTTAAGAAAACAGAGGAGGCGAAAAGCAGAGGAAGACAAGGAGTGAAAGCTTTGCCGCTCGCAGAGAGTTTTTTGTGAATGGCCTTATGTCATCAAAGACCTTGCTAGAGGAGAAAGCTTTAAACGTTCAGTGCTGCATGAGGTAAGAGCCAAGCACTACACTAAGAATACCAGCCTCGTCATCATGTTGTTGACAAGGTAAAGGATCTTAGAAAGAGAGGAGAGGGCATTGGTGAGGATTATGGGAACGTCATCCATTGTGCTCAACGGTTCATGTGCTGCATGTTCGATTCTGAGGATTCTGGAAACTCCATCCGCCAACTCAAGACACTTCACTTCTTCACCAAGGATGCGAGCTCAACAACAGAGCATGCATGCATGCAACGTAAGGGACTTGCTGGTGTTCTACTACTCATGGCACGGATCAATGATTGAGGACGATAACATGTTCTTGGCAGGTCTTTTTCTCATGGAACCAAACTCCACGCCTTCATTGATACTTGTAGTAGCGGTACTATTCTTGACTTGCCATTCACGTGCAGAAAGAGGAGGGGGAGAGAAGGAGAAAGGATGGGGAGAGAGAGAGAGAGAGAGAGAGAAAGGAGGGAGAAGAGGATGGATAGATCGGTTGAGGGAGAGGCTGGTTTGGACTAGCTTTGTGATGGAGAGTAAATTGCATGTGGTGCTGCAAGACGACTTGAGGAAGCTTGAGAGTGGCGGAGGAAAGAGGTAAGAGAGAAGGAGACAAGACGAAAGAGTGAAGAGACAAGGGAGGAGCGAGGAGTGGGGTGAACAATATATTATTAAAAAATATTAGTGGGACCTATGATATCATATTTACAATAAAAAATATTAAAAAATTTAAATGTGAGTCATATAAAAAAGGATTGAAAAAATGGCAGGATAATGAAGAAAAAAAATTTGAGATTGAAAGACATAAATAACTTATGGTTGATTTTAAAATTATTTATGACCTTTTATATATACTTTAAAAATATTTCTAACTCTTAGCTTTTTTTTTTTAAGCATATTTTGTTTTGGGGGGTGGGGATCCAAAGGGTAAAGTTTTATCTGTTCATTTAGCTACATGGAAGCACAACCTATTGTTTCATGCAAAGAGGGTCACAGGGCCCAATAGCCTGTTTAGCCCAGTTAGGCCCAACCACCATCATGGGCTGGGGTCCACCATTGTCTCATCATAAAACAAAAAGATATTTGAAATTTATCTTTTCAGGGGGCAAAATGATAGGTATTTGTGTGATTCCTTTTCCAAGGTTCATTTTACAATTCGGGCAAAAATCTCTAAGCCCTGGCCAACTTCGGATCCTGGCTTGAGCAATGTGGGCCAGTGAACAATACCTTTCAAAGCAACGACAATGCTGTTCTGTCTGTTCTTGTGTTCCTGATATCATGTTTCGAAGTTCTCAAAAATAAAGCAAGTAAAGAGGAATCTGATAGCACCATCCACAGGAAAGCATAGAGTTTTATTAACTACTAAAAAGTGGGAAATTTTAGAGCCTTACAGATTTTTATAATCACAACTTGGCCTTAGCTGCTAAGAATGTATGTAATAATGTTGGCATCTTGGAGGACGCTCGTATTGCCAGTTAAAAAATGTTTCTGATATTAAAAGGTTCAGATTCAGGGTTCGTTAGTTTCTGGACTGATTGTGAATGGGAGGTAGGAGCTTTCTTCCACTTGTGACAGGTTAGCTGCCGAAGGGGAAGATGAAATTCTCGAGGTTCCAATTTCAGTGATGGAATGGGAGACAAGTTGTTCTGGACTGACATATTCTAAAATATGCTAAGTATAGTTTGTTAAATAATAGTTCTGGACTAACATACTTTAGCTTGTTGTTCAGTCCAGACTTTCAGATTCTCTTTGTCTTGTTTGTCGAACTTTGTACTGCTACTTCATTTTTAATGCTATTTCTCTTTCGTTGGGAGATAAAAAGCACTCCTAATTGTAATATTTCATTAAAGATGTTTTCTTTAATCAATTACAAGGGTCAAACTTAACTAGTCAAGCGGCCGGTCAAATTTGATTATTAAGCATTGGTTTGTGAAGAGAATGATGGCGTAGTCTTGGTATTGGTGTGTTAATGGTAAAACAAGAACATAAAAAGAGAATATCCATTGTGGGAAGCAAAAGTTGATGGGCAGTTTTTCCCCACTCACAAAAAGCAAGAAAAGAAGATAATGCAAGCAAACAAAACAGAGGTCTCATGTTTAAGCCTTGAATATACAATAATGATTAAATTCACATATTCTTAAGGAGATACTTGCGCCAATTGAATTAGTCTGACTTGAAAACTTAAGTTACTAGATCTCACTGGAAAAAAAAAAAAACTGTTATTCCACTACTTTGCAGATTCAACAAATTCAATATAATATATCAAATTTATATTCACTGATAGTCTTCATTATGAACATTTTTGAGCCACTGATTCTAGTATTCTTGCGAGGCTATGCAACTTTTCACACATTTTTTTGTTAATATTTTATATGAGACATACTAATAAGTTTAAAATTTGAGTTTAACAAACAACAAATGATCCATAGAATGATTGATGAACAAGTGATGGCAGGCAACTGGTATAGGAGGTGTGGCTCAGATAGAATAGTTGACAGTAGAGCAAGAGGACAAAGGTAGCTTCTGCCATATCACTTTCCACTGAGATATTCATATTCTTTCATCCTCAAGACCTCAACTAATGAAATTATTAATTATGTTAAACAATTACGGTCCATTTCAAGTGCATGTGCCGATGAAAACGCCAATGCAGTAGGTTCCCTTGGGCCCAACACCTTGCATGTGTCTGAAACTTACAGACTTTACAGCTAACTACACTTAGGAACAGGGTCAACACCACATGATTATTTCTCTAATATTAAAATTTAAATCAACCCACTCAATTAAATCGATAAACTATTAAATTATTATTTTAATTTATTTAATAAAATATTTTATTTATAATCGATTTGATTACAGTTCAATTACTGTTTTGACTATTAATTTTTAAACTAATATTTTAATTGGTTCAATTATCGATCTGATTTTTATTATATTGATTTCTCTTTAAATACTATACTAGTATTTGAGTAATTTATAGTACTACACCATCATGCAAGGAATTTTGGTGAAGTTTTCACTTTTGAGATTATTGAAGTGAGATTCCAACGGAGAAAGGAAAAGAAAAACAAAAGGGGGACCTGGGAACAAACATATCAGAAAAAAAAGCTTCTATTCCGACAGCATCATATCAGCTAATATTCTGTAATCCAATTAAACTCAGCTTTAGTGCCTTCTTTCCCTTTCTTTAACTTCTTTATCTTCCCAATTCCATTATCATAATATACCATGTGTGCTACGAATATCGGAACTCACAACCCTCTTAAACCTCTTTTGACTGGTAAATCTGTTTGGCCTGAAAAATAAAAGGGTCTGAATGAAATTAAAAGAAATGGTAGCTAACCTTTGTAACCCCCCCCCCCCCAAAAAAAATCCCTAAAATACAATGCCCAAACGCTAAAATTAAAATCATACTCGGTAGATAGTGTACGGAAGAAATGGCTTGTGTCTAAATGCTTTTGTCTCCTTATCAAATATACCTTAATTAAGTAGTTATTAACTAGGTGAACCAAGCGCTGCTAGGTAGAAATTGATACATATTTAAGCAATAGAAGCTCAATTTAGCCGACGGCGACCTTAAGGGCTTAAACACAAATAATGTCAAACCAGCGACCATGACTATTTTATAGTATTGATGTTTGTATTGTAATGGAGGGGGAATGTATATTCTCTACGGCTTTCTAACCAGTGAAAATTTGAATTTTGCCACGCGTTCTAATAGCTAAAACATGCCGCCAGTTTTATAGTAGTCCCAACTTCAAATTCGACAGATGAGTTCAGATAAAATAGGCAGCACGAGTCATAAGATGTCCTGTTATGTGCCATGCACTGCCCAAAATTTTCGGCCTTTCTTGTCCTCTAACGTGTGCCTCATATTAAGGAATGCAAGTAATCTCATACGCTAAAAAGACAACAGATAGCAGAACCTAACAAGGGGAAGGCAACAACCCAAAATGGGAGGTGAAAGATTTGCAATTGACCAAACAGTTTCCAAAGGGAATCTGAAAATGGAAGCCGGTGAAGAGGAATCCGGTATCCTAGGTGGAGCTAGCATACAGAGATAAACTTAAAACGCAGGCTGAAAACTAACAAGAGAAGAAGAAAATTACAACAGAAAAGGGAACATTTTTCCAGCAACAAATTTCTATATCTAATAAACAAAACCGGATTCTTCTTCCCCGGATAACCCATTTGTATATCCCTCTTGGTCAGGCAGAAAAAAGCGACTTCATTCGCCATTCATCCAAGCTCCTCTTGTCCTTCTGAGGGACATCTAATTAGCTCCAATATATTAACTACCTCTCCCATATCTGGTCGGTTTGAAGGCACTTGTGAAGTGCATATTAAGCCTAGTTTCATCACAGGAATGGCTTCCTCAGCCGGGAACTTCCCCTGCAGCCTCCCGTCAATACATTCTTCCACCCTTCCTTCTTCCAAAGCTCCTCTGACCATGTCGCAAAGCACCACCACGTCATCCTCCATGTATTCAACTGGCCTCTTCCCTGTGACCACTTCCAAAACCAAAACTCCAAACCCATATACATCACATTTCTCTGTTATCTTCACAGTACGGCAGGCAAACTCTGGTGCCATGTAGCCAAGAGCACTTTGAATTTTGCTGCTCAAAACATAACGGTCAAGCATCGGTAATAATCTTGCCAGGCCAAAGTCGCCCACTTTAGCTTCACCGTAGCCATCAATCAGGACATTAGTTGACTTGATGTTGTAGTGGATAATGTTCGTGTGGTGCAAATGAGCTAAGGCTTTTGCCGTGCCAAGAATTATATGAAACCTCTCATTCCACGAGAGGAAATTTCCACTTGATCCATCATGGAGATGCTTATACAGACTGCCACCAGAAACAAACTCATATATGAGGAGCTGCAGGGATGGGGTCCAATAGTAACCTTCGAGTGCCACAAGATTTTGGTGTCTGACTTTTCCCAGTTTCTTCACTTCTCTTTCAAAATCTTCCTGAGACTTGACAAGACTGGACACAGTGAGCTTCTTGATTGCAACTGCATGACCATCTCTGAGAACTGTTTGGTACACTGCTCCAAACCCACCCCGCCCAAGTTCACAATCCTTATTAAGCAAAGCATGCGCCCCAGTGCTGAAGTCTGGCTCACCAGAAAACATGACAAGCTTGCCAGAGTTGGCATCTGTAGTTGGGGAATGGCTAAATTCTTCCCCTGCAGAAAATGTGAGGGCAGCCGGAGCTTGAGATGCAGAGGACCGAACATGGAGATTGAGAACAGTGATGGCAATGACACCAATTACAATGACAGCAGCTGCACCGATGGCAATGAGTGCAGAAATGCTGAGAATGATTCTTTTGTGACCAACATTGGGAGTTAATGACCCTGGAGCATAATCAGAAGTGGTGTTTGGATTTAGGACAATAGGCTTTGGAAGGACAGAAGGGCATGATTTCTTGACAGCAGCACCACAAAGAGATGGATTCCCAGTAAGATAAGAAGGTGAAATGGTATTAAAAAAGGGGCCAGCTGGTAGTTCACCCTTTAGGTTGTTATGGGATATATTAAAGGAAAGAAGATTGGGCAGATTGGCCAATTGCTTGGGAAGGTTTCCAGTAAAATTGTTCAAAGACAAGTCCACAACTTGTAAATCAGTCAGTTTTGCTATTGCTACAGGTATCGAACCAGTCAGGCTGTTCTGTGATAGAATTCTACAGATTGACGGCCGCCCACCACAAAAGAAAATACATTCTGTTAGAACCATGAAAAGTAAAAGCGGCAAGATGCATGCATGGTTTTTATATTCTAAAAGACAAGAAAAACAGCAAAGCATGAGGTTGCAATAGCATGAATCCTAAAAGACAAGCAATAAGAGCAGATGTGCAGAGGGCAAGAAATATAATGAAATCCAACAACAGTAAATCTGATAAGTAACCCTCTTGATATAAATTAGACATCTTGAGCATTTCAGCCTAGGCTGAAGATGTTGGCTTTAGCCTTTAGGGTACATGCATTTAAATAAATAATGCGATAAATAATATTGAATTAAAGCTGGGGCATGCAACTTAGCAAAGTCTTTCTGAAAGAAGCTTCAACCAAATCAGTGTAGTGGAGAAAACATTCAATTACCTATTGAAACATGAAGCTAAGAAGAGAGAACTTACAAAGTCGACAATGAAGTGCAGTTCCCAATTGAGGCTGGAATGTCTCCCACTAGATAGTTTTTCTTCAATCTCAGTAGTTTCAAAGATACAGCTCCTCCTATTTCCATAGGTATGCTTCCATTTAGCCGGTTCTCGCTCAAGTCAAGACTATTCAGGGACTTTAATTCTCCAATGGCAGCTGGTATAGGACCACTCAGAGCGTTCTTTGATAAATTCAAGAGCTTCAAGCTGCTTAAGACTGAGATATCAGATGTAATTTCACCAGAAAATGCATTGTCAGATAAATCCAGAACTTGAAGACTTTGAACAACAACTGCCTCCAAGGAATATAGAGAATTTTTCAGACCTCCACGCAATTTATTTTCTGATACCAAAACTTTCTGCAAATCTGACTTAAAAATCCATGAGGGAAGATCTCCTGACATTGAATTCTGACTAACATCCAGGGCTAAAAGGCTGGTGCAATTTATCAAAGACTCTGGCAGGTTACCAGAAAAACCATTTCCAGAGAAATTCATTGTCTTCAATGACTGAAGATTTCCTATAGAGCTTGGCACCTTACCTGAAAATCTATTCAGAGAAACGTCCAATGTCTCAAGGCTTTTCATTTCCCCAATCCATTCAGGAATCTCACCTGAAAAAGCATTTCCACTAACACTAAGATAACCACACAATGTGACCTCCTTCATATCCTCGGGAAGGCTACCAGAAAAAGAATTCTCACTGAGATCAATAGATCTCAAAAGCAAGCAACTTCCAAACCCATCAGGGATCTTCCCGGACAAGTGATTTTTGGCCAAGTTGATAGTTCGCAAATTCTTCAATCCTTCAGCACTCCTTGGAATCTCACCTTCCAACAAATTATCCGACAAATCCAGTGACCTTAGCCCACTCAAGGTCCAGATACCAGAAGGAAGAGGACCTGAGAACTGGTTAAACGAGAGGTCAATTGCAGCGAGAGCCGAGCATGAGCTCAAGCTGGAGGGAATCTTCCCCGTGAACTTGTTTCTTGCCAATGAAATCGCCCTTAGAGACCCACATTGTCGGAAAAGATCATCGGGAAGCTCGCCGGAGAGATTATTCTCGCTCAAATCGATCACTCGAAGGTTGTCGAGCCGAGCAATGTTGGGGCTTATGCTGCCGGTGAGATTGTTCTTCGCCAGAGAAAGCTTGCGCAGAAATTGCAACTGGAAGAGGCCTCGACCTATCCTACCCGAAAGAGAGAACCCATCAAGGTTAAGCTCGACGACTCTGTTGGATCTAGGGTTGCATTTCACACCGACCCAACCACAGGAATTCTCATCATCTTCATTCCAGTTTACCAGTTTCCCCTTCGGATCTTTAATATCAGCTTTGAATACTATCAGACCCAGAACGTCGTCGTTCAGGGATGGGTTCACGGAAATCGCCACCAGCACCGAATCTATGAAAAGCAACAAAAGCAAGAAGGAAAGAGCTCTCATATTCAAAACCGCCCGCATTATCGGAAGCTACACTCCCATGTGCAATTAAGCTCAGATATCAAAAGAAGAAGACACAAGTTCACTGATTCTGACCTCTAAAAGCTCTAGAAATGACCAACGGAAAAACGCCAAGCATGGAAAACACAAAAAGCAAAAGACCAGCTTTCTCCAACGGCTAGATTTAAATGCAGAGGAAAAAACTCAAAAAGTCGAAGAAAAGACTCTAGAGTACCAGGGAGCACTCGCATTAGCAAAGCCAGAAACTTACAACACCAGAAGACGACGACGAAGATGAAATGAGAGTTGCAATTGGTAAAGTGTACAAAACCCTAGAAATCACTCGAGAAAAGGATTTACTGAGCCTTAAAGGCGTAAACATGCTGAAGAAGAGAGAAAGAGTGTCCCAGAAAGTTCGATCCGAACACCGTCAAATGCAAAATAAGGTAAATTAAAGCCTCTGGAGTTTGAACCGGAGACTTGACAGCGGGGAATCCACCGGAATTTCATTCACCGAAGAGGGAAGAAGAGATTAACAGAGTTCCAATGAGAGTGACCGGGAAGTTCAGAGGCGAGGCAGAGGAGTAATAAATTATAAATGGGTTTCACTTGGCGTTTAAAGATGGGGCGGAGCAGAGTCTCTCTCTTCGCTCCTCCTTCCTCGATATCTCTCTCTACTGTCTGAAGCGCACTTACTGAACTAAAAATAATACAATTATTTCAGTTTTTATTAACGGCAAAAGGGTCCAGTTTGGTAGGTGGGGACAATGAATTTGACCGTGGCCACGTGTCGCTGCCCATGCGGATCCGATTGTCCTACGTGTCTTTCACGTCATCTTCGTCAGTTATGCTTTTGACATGGAGGCTTGTCTGGCTTGTTCATCTTTCTTACAATTCTGAAAATTACTTCTCAACCGAATAAATAAAATAAAATTACACTTTTTATCTTATTAAAATGTATGTTTATCGCTCCTCCTTGTTTTTGAAAAATAGAAAGTTGTTTTAATTTTTGTAAAGTTTACAGTGGAATTTTTATTGATGTAATTTAAGCCCCCCAAAATAAAAATTGATCTTTGTTCATGTGTAATTGGCAGGGACAATTTTTCTTCCCCTTCGAATGAAAGGTAAATTTTAAAGGAAAATTATACTTGTACAATTCGTATTGAAAATATTTAGTAATTTAAATTTTTTTAAATGCTGGAGAAGAAATTGAAAATACATTGATGTAGAATTTTTTTTTTATATAAAAGTTTACTTCTATCAATTTCTTCCCATATAAATATGTCAACTCTAGTTTTAAATCCAAGATCTTTTTTAAATAGAAGTGACATTGTCGCTAGCATGACTAGCTGTTGATTATTGTATTAGAAACCTTCACAAAAAATCAAGAATTAAAATGATTCACTGTGATTTTTATTCAAGGTGAATGATTTAGCACGATTACACTAAACTTGGAGTCCGCAATATAAATTTGTTGGTGCATACAATTGAATGGCAATTGTCTTGCACTCGAGCCTTGACTACAGAAACTTGTTGGTGTAAAAAGCGATCAACTAATTCAAATTTTGGTCGTCATTAGTTTCGCCTAACCTTAATTGCTGCTTGAAATTTGTATGACAAGCTTAGTTACCATAGCCCTGTGGGGTAGTTGTAGTTGTTACTATGATATTTCTGGGTTGAATTCTGAATTACGTTTAATAAGTTGCATAAGCAGTAGCTTTCTTTCCCCACGAAATATAATGAACTATGGAGGCGTGATATTTTCAGGTTGGTGACATTGTGAAATGCTTTTTTTTTTTTTGTGGGGGGGGGGGAAATAAATCAGTATAAACATTTATAAAATACACATAAACTTTTAATCTCTGTATTTTACTCACATTTTACTTTTAATTTATATTTTTTTAGTGTTTTAAATCCTTATATTTTTATTTTTTATTATTTTTGATCTTTTTACGAACAAATTGTAGATACCTAAAACAATTTAAAATAATAAAAAATAAAAATATAGAGATTTAAAATATTAAAAAAATATAAAATAAAGTAAAATGTAAAAGTAAATATAAATAAAACATAAAAATTATATTTATCCAATATTTATATAATATTAATAATTATGGGGACATGGGTTGGATGGTGGAAGGGGTATTTTGAAGTAGAGAGCATGCTGCAATGATGAGGAGGGGCAGAAAGATTAAAGGGGCCTGGAAATTGCAAGAAAAGAGGGACCAAAAGTGCAACGGATGTGTTTATCATACAGTATTTCTGTGAAAGAGTGGGCCCATGTTGGTATTATACAATCAATATGTATGGATTTTGTTCAAACCAGGTAAGATTACTACCCAAATAGAGAGAAAAATAAGGAGGGAATTAAAGTGAACAGAGAGTGGGGTGAGGGAGATGCATGAGCAGGGATCCCAACGGTTTCATTTATAAGACAAAGATAAATATTTATTTGTCTTGAACAAGTCATGTCATTCAAATTTTTAAACGCTTTTATCTTTCATCCATCATTAAATGAAATAACAGCGAAAAAAGTTTGTTATAAAAATAGATACATTGAATATAGAAAACTTATTAATTTTTTTAAAGAGACAAGAAGTTTTAATTTTTTTTTATTTTGGTTAAACATATTAAAATTAACTTATAGCATTATATTATAAAACACTTATAATCATCTCAATGGCACGAAAAAAAAAAACAAGATCTGAGAAGTTATTAATTTTGTTTGAAAAGATAATAAAATTTCAATTTTATCTATATCTAAATAAAAAAATTAATTTACATTATATCATGTCTCATAATTAATAAATTTAAATATTTTATTAAATATCTTATATTAAAAGTTATTTAAAAAAATTTATAATAAAAATTGAAAGGTCGAAAACTCCCTCTGTTAAAAAATATAAGATATTTTTAAAGAGTTAAATATTAAAAATGTAAAATTTTTTTAATTTTTTAAAATGTAATCATTGTATTTTTCTTTTAAAAAATGTCCTTATTGAAAGAATTATTTTATATTTATTTTATAATGAAACATTTTATTAAATAGATATAAATATAAAAAATAGGGTTAGTTTAAAAATAAATAATTATTTTATTAAAAATAAAATTTAATTATTAAATGGAAAGAGTAATAAGGGTGCAAGGGAGGAGAAGGGGGTTAACAAATGGAGGGAAGAGTGAATAAGGAGGAGAGGGAAGACAAGAACAGGTGGGAGAAGAAAGGAAAAGGAAAAGAGTGAATTGGGCGAAAAGGGGAAGCAAAGAAGGTAAAGTAATGAAGAGAGAGCAATTAGGTGGGGTGGTGGGTGGAGTAATTATGGGAAAAGCTGACACTCCAAAAGCAGAGCCCCACTGCTGCTGCATCATCCACGTGGCACCCACCGTAGCACACCCCACTACTGCTGCTTTATACCCAAAGCATCAGCCACCGTGCTCTTCTCTTAATCTCTTTATTTATACTTATACCCGCTGTCACAATTTCATATGAGATAATGCATGTCAATAATGAACTCTAATAATCATACTCTACATGTTTCTTTAAATATATATATTTTTTAAAAAAATATTTTTTATTTAATATAATTTAAATTTATAATCATTTCAATGAAAATTATCATTAAAAAAATTTATTTTCATCAAATTCTTTTGTATTTAGAGATGACAAGATATTTCTAAAGTTATCTTGTAATTCAAAACGAGGAGTAAAATGCATATTATATTTTCCATCCTCAACTATATAAAAATTATTTTCAACTATCTTACCGAAACTAAGATAAATTAATTAGAATCATAAAATTACTTCAAAATTAAATAACTTTTTTGTTTTTTTTCACTAAATTTAAATAAGAGCACCTTGATATTTGTAAAGAATTTTCTTGAGAATCTAAATGTTCTCCTTTAAGCCCCCTTTCAGGATTACGTTTTGAAAATTAAGGATATTTTTACATGAAGGGAGATTGACATCTAAAACCCCAAAACAACAAAAATAAAAAATGTTCTTATTGTTTAAAATGTAAAATATTTTTTAAAAATTTAAATATAAAAAAATATAAAGTATTTTTAGTTTTTCATCGTATAATCATTATCTTTTTTAAAAAATTATTAATTAATGACTTTATATTTATTATAGGGTGTTTAGTAAGAGTAAATATAAAAAGATAAGATTAATTTAAAAATAAATAATTATTTTATTAAGTGTGAGATTCGATTAAAAATGACTTACATTTTTTAATGGAGAGATTAAGTCCCAATAGAATTCTAATTGCTTCACCAAGCCTAAAGGTCCCATATAATTTGTACTAAAGTTGAACTTTAACTATAAAAATTATGATATTTTATGTATTTGGATTAAATTTAAACTTTAAAACTATGATTTGTATTGCTTATTTTAAATTTTAAAGCATTTTAATTTGCAATTTAAGACATAAGCATATGATATGACAATAACAAATTTAATTTTTAAAAATAAAAAACAGGCTTTTGAGTCCAATCCTAAACCCAATCAATAAAGATCAAGTTCAAATAACTGATTAATCTTGAGACAACGAGATTTATAGACCCGAGTTCATATGAGTGAAGCTCGCTTACTTTTCAATTCTAATATTATGCACTTCCTTTTAAAATCCCCGAGGGAGTATTTTTAAAGTTGTGCGTCAAGAGTTACACGTAAAACCAGAGAAAATGACTTCCACCGATCAAGATGATTTTCTAAAGCGTGATTTAACAAAAGGGGCTGAGGGAAGTAATACACTGCTCCATTTGTTCTTATCACAATCCACCTTTAATAATCTCATCAAAATTAGAGCGACATAATTAAGGTCATTAAATTTGTTTACATACCAAAAACAAATTCAAGGTCACCCAAATTCTAAAACCCTGACTTGCATCAGGAATCATGCAAGACAATGTATTGAACTTTAAATAGAAGTACCACCTGTGATGGAATGAATGAAAGGAACTCATTTCTGTCTTCTTAACTAACGCTGATCAAAGGACCGAATATTTCTTTTTTTAAAAAAAAAACCATCCCTGTGTTTTATAATTAAGGCAATTTTGTATGAATTTTTTGATTTTTTTTTATAGCAAAACTTGATTATAATTTCGGTCATTAAGACTGACTTAGAATATATTTTCACACATCAGTTCCGAGATTATTTTATCCTTTTTCGTGTAGATTTTTATGATTACGAGTTAATCACCGTGACATGGCAATAGGCATACATTGAAGAGATAATCTGTATGAATAGGGAAGGATTTACTTTCGCATTGCAGCGTTGAAACTAGAAGGTCGTTTCTCACTATAAAATTATTGCTGATAGTGGGTTCATTAATCTATTAGCCTTGAGGTGGGTTATTTTCTTTTAAAGGCTAACTTCATTATAAGCGTGATTGTGATGGGTCCTTGCACTTGCACGCTGTTAAAGCTGTGCAACATAAAAGATAAGGGCAAGGAGAAAATATTTTCCAGTAACGAGATTCTTTCACAAAAGCAATGCTGAGCTAAATCTTTCGGCAAAAGTAGGGTAAATTTTGAGCAGCATAAAGAACCGTGATGATCAATTAACAAGTATGAGTCCGTACGCCCTTCATTGTTGCAATCAATTCTATAGGATTGTCTATCTCTATGTTGTTAAAGTTCATTACATTACATGTATTTACAAGCTGTTCCAAGTGGGATTA